TAATATTTGAAGAGTGGCGTTACTCAATATTCTGTGCTAATTTAAGTTACCGTTTGTGTATACGACATTCTGGATTAACTTTTTAATTAATTATAACCCATATACACTAATACCGGAAAAATGGTTTTATTGGCAGCAACGCTTTTATAGAATTAAGTTTCTGGAAAATGCTTATCTTCAAAAATCTACAGTTAAGAAATAAAGTATGAAAGTACTCTATTTATTATTTTATTATGTTTGTTCTGATACATTTGGTACAATGTTCAAATAAGCGTAAATGAAAAAATGATGTATAACGACATACCTCATAATTATATCGTGGTTTTTGTGTATATTTTGGTTTCATGTGTATATTTTTTATGCTGACTGCCTTATAGACAGCTATGGTTACCCACCGTCACTTAATCATTCTTAAATATAGGAAATTATTTATTTTAAGAAATAAATACTTATCGCAGACGCATACTTCCATAATGAACCCTATATACACTTACACGTATATGTCTTCGAATTTGGTTAGCGTTAACTAATATGATAAATATTAGTAACGCTGCTTGTTTTTTTTATTTTTACGTCATAACCAATTATAATTTAATTTGACATATTAGGGATAGACATAGACTGATGTCACGGGCATAAATTGATATAATTTATTAATTGGATTTGAGTTTGCGTATATATGCTCGTTTATGATTTTGCATTCCAATGCAAAAACTTTGCAGAATATCTGATGATTGTTATGTAGTAAATATACTGGGTACCACCACCTCTCTTAAAGAAGGAGCGCTCGAAATACAAATTATTCTAAGTTTGCCTGGTCACCGTTATAATAGATACTACATTCAGATTATGAAATAGAATTTCATTTCCGATCAGGTGGTACATATTAGTAAATTGTATCCAATGGCAAAGTAATAATTGTGATGCTTCGTTTATGAGGCTCGCACACAAGGAATGAATTAGCTTTAACATTTTTCATAACAGTTCCTTGATATGTTTGAATGTCTACATTTGTCGTGCCTATTGACTAAATGTAAATGTTATTTTGCCTTTACTTTGAACATCATCGCCATTTCAATAATGTAGATTCCTTCATCACTCGTTCACAAGGCCATGCATAACTAGTGTATAGTGTATTGGCCTTTGATGACATCGAATAACTTACTTTATCATGAATAACTTTATTTTGTATTAGATTACAATCAGCATTAAACTGTTTTCATATTGCCAGTGATTTCATTCATATGAGGAAAGATAAATTTAATTCCAGCGGCTTAAAACAGTTATTGGAGCGTTAGTATTTAAATTTTTTAAAATACCATGCTCATTTAAAACTGTTTATAAAATAATTAAATACAAAATTAATAGACTTACTTAAGTAAGTTCAAAGCTGAACTTAGAACTGCAATATTGTGGTAACTGTAAAGTACTCTGTTGTCCTGAAAATAATTATAACTGTGTGCATATATTATTAGAAAAATAAGTCGAAATACTTGTAGGGCGTAATAAGCGAGGTGGGCGTGTCTCTGCTCCGCCCATCTTGAACCCGCCCTCGCTCTTTGCTACCTTTTCAATGAAAATCTCGAAACCCTCTTTCGTTCGTAGGTATTCAGTCAACAATTTAATTGTGGCGAAAATTTAATTTTAATACTTGCAAATTTTCTGCTTCTTACTTATTTCAATATGAATCTTAACTGGACGATTATCGTATTGTTTATATTGAAACTGAGTGTAATACTTTATAAATGTATCAAATTTATACCGTGTGTATATATATGCATATTTTATATATTACTACTGTCTTGAAATTTAGCGTCGAGATTGTCATTTTGAAAATTACATTTAGCTCTTGATAGGGAATGAGATGAACGTCACCGGGGTCGCAGCCCGCAGGGCAGATAAACTCGTTAGAGCAAGATACGACAGCCACCGGCGGAGGCGGATGAGCACGCGACAACCCTGGATATCCCGGTAATCTCGTTGCGGCTCCCGACCCGTCGATTCCGATTCTCCCCAAATTACCTTTTGTACTCAATAGACAATCTAATTCGTCTTCATCTAAAATGTTTTTCCAACAATTTATTGAACTCTTAACCTGTTTGACAATAAATGCGAAGGCGACGCGTTCACAAGAAGCACGTAGCACCTCGCCGTCGCCACTAAAAGCTTCTTGTTGACGTAGCGTTCAATTCAAGAGGCACAGCGTACTGTCCTTGTAATTGATTGCTTTGTCGTGTAATTTGTTTGTCGACAACGGGTGGAGCGCGAGATCCTCACGGGAGCACCGCGACACTCATCTTCTCGTCATCGTCTCCGTAAATAAATAAGCACCCTCCGCCGTTTTCGACGCGCATCTTGCCTGCCTGTCTACCTTGCTTTTTGTTCCGTGACTTGGCATCTTTGTCTTGATGAATTGTTTGAATAATATGCGAGTGTGATAACATATAATTAAAGTAATGAATCTGAAAATATGTTACCATTATTACTAGGGTACGGTTTTTGTTTTGTAATAATCAAATAACTATTTTATAAAAGACATAAGTTTCTAAAAATATAAAAAATAACCCATTTTTATTCTGTCCAAAATGATTTATTGTTATTTTTTTGAGTGGGACTATTATGTGAAAGGTAAAGGTACAATTGTACATTTCAATTTTATTTTAAATGGAACACTCAAACTTTATTCTACGTAGTTTTCGACTTTGATGATGAAAAATAATGAAATCTTTCTTTCATTATATGCAATTTTTACAACCCTGTGTCGTGCCCCTTCTTTCAACGAATTTTCTATTTATGTTCTATACGTTGTTAATGCCAAATTTTTAAAGTGTTTTTATTTTGATTGTTGATTTTAACTTTTCTTTAACTTAACGCACTATTTATATTTTTTACACGCAATGACGTTCAGTTATGTATGATGAGAAATCAATTCGGAATTCACGGCGCCTACTGAGAAATGAAAAATCGAACTAGTAAGTCCTAATGTCAAAATGTCTCTGTACAAATTGTTGCTATAAACATTATTACCTTTCAACGGTTTTATCTTTAAAGCGGAGAATTAAAGGACAAACAAGAAGCGCAAACGTCATCTGTAACCGGGTCGGTCTGAGCGCACGAGCTCCATCACTAATAACCCCGTAATTGGTATCGAAGCTCGCCGCAGCTGGATTACTGAACGTCTAATTGAATGCGAGACGGTTGGTCGCCGTCGCTGCCACCTTTCTAGGCAACAGAGGCGACTTAATTTTGTTGCGGTCAAGTTGCTCTGTTTCGTGCACGTGCACGGACCGCGTTCGCACAATGTTCAATTATACCGCTTGGATGAATTAAATTGCCGTGAAAGCGGGAACCTGCCACCAGAAACCTGTCAGGAGATCAAACGCAAACGCCTCGACGAATGATACTTTAGATTTACCCGCCATCCGCCAAGTTACTACGCAAGATAATCATTCCGTATCAATTAGCTAATGAAAAATAAAATAAGCCCCCGGAATATGGAGGCAACGTAATTAAAATTATGATGATGGCTTGCTGCCATCTGTTTTAGGCTTCTATTGAGTATTTTACACTCAAAATTACAATTTTAATTTGATGGAAACGTTAATTGAATATATCAAATTAAATTATTGTAGTCAGCTTCGTGGAGTATCATACCATATACATTTTGTTGAAGAATATAATGTGTAACTGAATGTTTTGTTCTAAAAGCTTCTGTAATGATAGTTGATGCTGTTGACAAGGAAGCATTTCATGTTATACAAAAATGGGAAGGAATTAAAAACTAAAGCGCTGAACAAAACGTTAGTACTTTCATTTACTCGACTAAAAAGGCGTATGGCTTTAAGTATGACAAAATATGTAGTAATACATAAGTGAAGTGTTCGTATTAAGCAGACCATAAAATCATAATTTAATAAACAAATCTAAATTTTTCGATATTCATAGTTTTTCGTACTTATATCAATTTTGTATGGAAACGATAAATTGAAATTACATGTAGGGATGTGAGTTAAAATAGTGTTTTTGATAGACTGCTAAGAAACTAGATTTTTGTGCACAATGAAAATTATGTATTACTTTTGTTAATCTTTTTTTTTTTTTTTACTATTCGTAACGAATTATTTATAATTCTTAACAGCTCCCACACTTATTTTACTAACCATGTTGACATTAGCTCATATTGTTGCGTTTACTTGACTGATAATTTTCGTATTTCGGACAATATTGTAAACCCACTGCGAGCGAGCTGGTTTATAAGATAAGTGTTTATGATGAATCACTATTGGGTCGGCAATGGCAGGTGTTAGTAATAGAAGCTACGGCACGCTCCGTGCTCCTATATTCCATGTATCACGATGTTTACTGATCTCTTGCGCTCGCTCACATCTCTGGACTACAGCCAACTAATTTCAACAGGTAGATTGAGTTCGCGCGCTCCTAATGACATCACACACCATACTCTCAATACTTGTGATTCACCTCATTCAAAATACTCTCCGGACTAGTCAGGAACGCGGTACATTTTAGTTGGCACACATTACATAATTGGACTGTTGTTTTGATAAGTGTGTGTGATGTCTCTTCTTATTTTTATTTTCTCAGTTTAAATCAGATTTATTTATATTAAACTATGTCAAAAATGTACAAGTTAATCTTCTCATCCTCAACCGTAGAAAATAAACATATAGGTCTGTTATTTCTTTTCTTGTTTGCGATGCTGAAACAGTAACCAGCCGTCGGCATGTGCATCGGACAGCATACGCGGCTTGTTATTAACTTTTTAAACGATTGCATTAATTAGCGGACGCCACCAGGAACCACCCTCGAGCGCCGTACTGTCCGCTAAAAAACAATAACGATACGTTCCGCCATTAATTAAAACGTTATACGATTCACATCCTACTCTGTTTCGTATACTAAGCGTACAACCATTTATTTCTTCATAAATGGTGCATATTGGTATTGATACTGTGTATTAAACTTGTTTTTATTTGTTACAGCAATTATTCCGTTCACAACAAGCGGCGGCCGGGGGACAGGCGGCGGCGGCGCAACTACAACTCCTGCAGCAGCAGCAGCAGCAACAGTTTCAACTACAGCAACAGCTAGCCGCCCAACAAGCGTTCACACAAGCGCCGTATGTGATCAATGCCGGTCAGGAGGGTGCGCCGTACGTTAGCGCGTTGATCGCGGGTGTGCCACCACAGGCTTACTACGGTGTAGCCGCACCATGGGGCATGTATCCGAGTCTGGTGGCGCAGCCGGCACAACAACAGGCGCAGCAGCCACGGCGGCCGCTGACTCCCCAACAGGGGGAGCAGCAGGTGAACGGACAGGGACAATATGTGATTCCGTATTACGATGCCGGTTCGCTAGTAATGAGCGGTCGGAACGGCACCCCCCTGCGGCTAGTGTCCCCGGGCGGGGTACTCGCGCAGCGACAATACCAGCCGGCGCCAACACATCCAGCAGCGACCGCAGCTCCGCCTGCGCCCGCGCAACCACAACCACAACAACCCCTACCTGGTGAGTCTATTTACATGTATTCACGAATGTTTGGCGTTAATAAAATTACACTCACCTTGTGTAATATTGTTACGAATAAGATTCACAAGCCGACCCAATTAGAAAGTTTTAAAAAATGTAATTTTATTTAACGTTTCAACGTGATTAACAGTAATCTCGCTTTCCCTATAGATTGCTAACAATGTACATATTGTTGTATTTCATAAAAAATATCCCCATTTGTAATATTATTGACATGTAACAACAGTCGCATGTTTTTCATATTATTAAATTACATAAAAATAATTGTTCTTATACAGATTCGATTTTAATATCTTCGTATATAGCCATTTTTAGTAACCTATATACTAGTTTTGTACTAATCTTAAGGAGCATTCTTTTTGCAGTAACTATGTAGTTCCATTGCATTGTTAAAGTAAGAAGGCGTTCATATTTGTTTCTTAATTAATGTACGTAGTAAGGCTTTTTGTCAGATTTATGTCTTATTGGTACTTGGGTGTACTCAGTACCACCTTTATTATTATCGCTGTATATAATTGGAATTTACACATTGTGAATATCGTTTTTGTGTGATGTTGGCGCATATTTATTACATTTCAGGGTGTCTATATGTTTTAAATATGGTACTTGAGTTCCGAAATTATTATAACGAGTAACACTCAATTAATTACATGAATAATCATTAACTTACTAATAATATAAAATTCACTCAGTATATAACAAACTTATAGACATCTCTCGACATTTGTAGCCCTTCCTAGTAGTGAATATAGTGTACATTGTAAACGTACGTCTAATATGTTGTACATAGAGACATAGAGTAACGAACACGGAGTCGTGTACAGTACGTTGTCAGTACGCTAGCGGCGGGCCGTGGCACAGTGCGGTGTATGGAGCGGAGAGGTATGCGTTGGTTGCAGGCGGTGGCGCAGCGCGGCGGGACTCTGTGGAGTTCGGTGGCGGAGGGCCCGCGGCCGCGCTGCAGGAGTACGCGCGCAAGTGGGGACCTTCGCCGCTGTCGCCCACGCTCGCGCCCGCGCTCGGTCCCGTCGGGCTGCGGCCCGTGTCCGCAGCGCCCGGCGCTGAGACCGCCAAGTACAGGTGCTTCACACACACACCTTCATAAGTTCATAATTTAAGAGACGCGTTCTTGTCGGTAGAGCTCTTGCCATTTTCCACGATGTTCCATCAATCTCTTTAGTTTTTGACACATGCAATATACATACAAACCATATACATAACACATACATACACACATACAAATATGAAAATAAAAATGTCTTTGTTCATGTAGGTGTCTATTACAGACTCTTATAATATGTCAAATCTACCGTAGGTGCGGAGTGTTTTCGAGCTGAGAAGAACTTACGCTTCAAAGGAGCTAGTACATTTTCATTATAGATTCATTTTTAAATTCAGGTATTAAATATGGAGATAAAGACCATAGCTCCTAAGATATCCCTCAATTCTTGTCCCTAACAAGCCTACGTACCGAACTTTGAAAAAGGCCGAACACAATAGATTTGTACATGTCGCAGTGCTACAGGTCTAAGCACCTGGCTATAACCCAAACCCTAAATAATAAAAAGAATAGGAGGCCAGTGCAGATGGCATTCCAAACCCGCGTACTTATGGAGCTGCTGAAGGATAACTCCTGTCTGACGGATATGACTTTAATCTGAGGACACCACTAGGAATTCGAACCTCGGCTCGGACCACGGTCATAATTTTTTATATAAATTATTTTGTTTAACAGAGGATACAGTTTTGTAATAAAAATAATATTAATACTGTACATGTTTGCTGTCAATAAGCTTCAAATTTAAATTCGAACTGAAATCGATGCCATTATTTCTCAATTCTGTTAATTATAAATTAATTGTGTTTTAAAGGTAGCTAGCGGCTACAATCACGTACCAAGTCCCACTCAGCATATCTCATAATATACACATACAGAATAGCACTGTATTTTATTATACCAAACGTTGATTAAACCTACAATGAAATGACTCGTTAGATATCTATACTAAATAAGACTTTCTTTGTCATTATTATTTATCTCCTCTATACATTGACGACATTGCCAATCGATTATGAATTGGTCTTTATAAACTGAAGACATCCATTTGTACCTTTGTGTTCCGTAAATTAAGTATGTGTTATTGTATACTGCAATTTAGGATACCGTAAAATTTATACTGTGGTAAGTGATATTCAGGGCAAACGATTATCGGATACTTATGTACATTGTAAATAATACTCATAACATATATATGTATATTATATAATTAATAATAGTCTTGTACAGATACGCAAATAATTTTATTAGCATGATTTTTTTTAATTATTATCTTTTATTATTTTTATTACGCTGCAAGTGCCCGTTATTAAACCAATGTATGTGTACATTGCAGAGCTGTCAGCAGCTTAGCCCAAGGTCTCACGTCCAATGGAATGTTTGGATCTTCATCTTCGTTACTCAGCAAACTCAGCGGAGTGGGAACTATCTCAGGTTAGTACATTATACGAAAACAGTATTTAACACTGATGTTATCTATTTCAGAGTTGTTGTACATTTTGTAAATAGTTTGCTCCATAACAAACCTAACTATGTATATATATTATGTATAAATTATGTTATAGCATAATTTAATTAATAAGTGATTTGGTTTGATGTATACAGTTATTGTGTCTAATATATAAGTTATATATGTTTTTTTATTAGGAATGGTCTATATGTATATATGTATTTTTTTAAATAAAGTTTCAAGGTATAATCATAGTCATATCTAACTTAAACATTTATTATTAGGTTTTCTAGTTTGTCTGTTTCTTATTTACTCGACACCTCCACCACAAGGAGATTTAGTATGGCAAACAAGATATTAATATATGTAGTTTCGTATATATAATGAATTCTTCACGACCCATCTATATAAAATGTTTTGTTAGTTACTTAAATTAGGATTTCAATTCTATATATCTTTATTTCGATTTTTGGCTCCACCAAATAGTTTTTTATTTCATTTCTAAATATAACTGACCGTTTGTTATTACAGTTGCTAATCATCTATATTTGGCAGGAGTGATGATTGTGCCAATTAACCATTGACCAACCACTGACATTGACATACTCACAGTGGAGCCCTTTGCCTAGTTCAGTTATAAAAGTTCATATATTGATATTAAACCAAAACAATACCACTTTTGAGACGGTGCCATGACTTAGTTGACCATAGGACTTAGGACCATAAGACTACATCTACGTAATCGACAGTCTTTCTTACTCTGTTTGGAGTGTTTAGCGCTGCGGCTCAGTTGTTGAAATGGTTTCGTGTTTGGGTACCCCAAATATCTTTAGGGACACCAATAAAAGATACTATATCTACGTGGAAATCGTTAGAAATTTCTACTCTTTACACACTATAACATTTTCGAGTAGCCTTTGGTTGATAGTAAAGACAATATATGTTTACATATTTAACAATTTGTATTAGGTTGTTTTATTTTCATGTATGATGATGAATGATGCAACCGGCCTGCATTATCGGTTTATGTTGGCGTGGCATCAGTAGAGTAGGTAGAGGATGATAAAACGAGCAGGAAGTCAGGTCAGTTACCCCATCTTGGTAAATAGTAATTTACCCGATGGTTTCCAGAGAGAACCGTTTGGAGGTAAACCTGAAATGGTGCATTGCTAGCAATGAGGTTATCAGTCCACATTACTAATAATCCCTCTTTTTCCCAGTAAGAGGGTGTTTTTTTTTTAATTGAATTGTATGAACACATGTCGGTTTGCCGTAGTGGCAAATTTACCCCAGAGCTTGTGGAAGTCGACTTGACATGGTATATTGCTAGCAATGTTAATATCCTCATTACTAACAATATCCAAGTTGCCATTAACAGGATGTTCTTTATGGATGATAATCGAATGGTACACCAGTGGAAGATGATAAAATTAACGTGAGGTTAGGTTAGTTTGTTGCCCATCGTTACAATTTCACGAGCAATTTATCACGATGGTTTCCCGGGGCAATCGCGTAGAGAGGACGTCAAGTCATTAGACCACATTAGTAAAAATTCCCTTCCCCATTACGAGGGTGTTAGCATGGCACTTTTGTTTGCAGAGCTAGTGGGTGCGGGCGTAGGCGGCGTGGGCGGCGTGTCGGTGGGCGCGCTGGTGGCCGACAAGCCGCCCGCGGGTCGCTCGCGGCTCCTGGAAGACTTTCGCAACAATCGTTTCCCCAATTTACAACTCAGGGACCTGGCCAACCACATCGTTGAATTCTCACAGGACCAGCACGGCTCTAGGTGAGTACAAGTGTATACAAGTACCACTCGATGACAAGACGGTAGTGTATAGATTGCTCTCTCTCGTCTGTTGCTACAGAATAGAAAATTCACTTTAGTTATCATTTATTCAAAATAATATCTTCTGGTAGCTTACTACAAATTTGTATTTTTTTTAATTAATCTAAGTTAAACTTAATCATACTTCATATATATCTGATAAACATTGTTTATTTTCTTTTCAATATATAATATATTTCTTCATATGTAATTTAATTAAACTAAGATAACATCTTGGGATGTAGTGTAAGGAGAATTATAAAAACTCTCAATGTTTATTATTAGTTATTCGTTAATGACTCTTGTTGGTCAATATATCTATAATATTTTATAGTTATGTAGTTTTCCATATTATGAATGTGAATCCATGTTGAAATCTGATTTATATTGCCTGCCACTAAGTCACGCTCTTACGTACTATGTGTAATAATCACGATCATTTATATTACAGGTTTATTCAACAAAAATTAGAACGGGCCACAGTTCAAGAAAAACAAATGGTATTTAATGAAATAATTGGAGCAGCATACAATTTAATGACAGACGTCTTTGGAAATTATGTTATACAGAAATTCTTTGAGTTTGGTACACCTGAACAAAAAACGACATTGGCACAAAAAGTAAGTAAAGACATATTAATCTAGAGACGAACTTCTTAGCATTCTATTGATTCTAATATACGGTCTAATATAAAACCTAGTACCTACAGTTCATGCCAAATCTTTTAGAGACATTTCGCTGTTATACCTCTCACTCCAATTTAACAGCATATAAATTAATCACATAGCCATTTTTAGTTCATCCGTTTGTTAGTTCGGAATATTTATTTGTTTTTATCGTATAGTCTTTGGTATATTTGTTTCCCATGGTACAGTAAGACAGGTATATTAGTAATAATGTACATTAATTAAGCAATAAATGGGATTATAAATTGTACTTAAACAGTGAAAGCTGAGCAATAAACAGAAAAAAGTGCTAGAGACGTAAAAGGAGGTCGGAAATTGAGAGCACTGTTAACGGTTTTCTTTTCATAATGACAAAATAAAAGAGAAGGAAAACAATATTGAGTACGGGTTGCATTGCAGAGCTGTTGATATAAAAGATCTATTTACTGTTAGAAACAGATAAGAGTTTAATATACTTTCTAATACATGCAATTTAAGTATTACGGTTTCTAGGTGCATGAAGGCAGAAAAAAAACTGAAATTATCTTAATTTTTATAACTCGTAAAATTATATTAATACTTGTCTAAAACCATAACGACATGAATTTATTTATGTTAGTCCGGTATTTGTTTATGTTATCGTCACAGAAGGAATGTTGCATTGATTGTGATATCTAATTTCACTATATGCATAACTTTGAGCAGAACAACATTCTTAATAAGTTTGTCACTAGTGCTTATCCTCATCATATTATCATGCTCATTTCGCATGGCATCGATTGAAATTAACATTTTATTGCCGTAGGTACGCGGACACGTGTTGGCGCTCGCGCTTCAAATGTACGGGTGTCGAGTGATACAGAAAGCGCTGGAGTCCATCCCGGCGGAGCAGCAACAGGAGGTTGTTCGCGAACTTGACGGTCATGTGCTCAAATGTGTCAAGGATCAGAATGGAAACCATGTTGTAAGTGTTGTGATTAACTGTGAAACTGTAGTTTATGTGTTATTCAGATTTATATTATTTGAAAATTTTATTAAAATTCGTTAAGTAGGTTTGTCGTGAAAGAGTAACGACATCCATACTTACTACTTTATATGTGTAGTATGTAAACAGCAAATATTCTTTACATAATATTAATTAATCATAAAAAAATGTCTGTATATTAATTCTATTTTTAGGGATAGAAGTATATTCTTCATTCTTTATTATTCATCTTCGACTATTTATTTTGGTAGCCAGTTTTAAGTTATTCTTTTTAACCATAATTGTGATACACAACACCATGTTAACAACAAAAAATACACGTTTTCTTTTAGTATTCAATTGAAAATATACTAGTGTCCTTATTGTTTTAATGATCTCAAGTATTTGCCCTGCCATGATGTTTTGATTTTACTTTTAAATATATATATATATATTTCTACTCCTAATCTGCAGGTACAAAAGTGCATCGAATGTGTAGAGCCGGGTGCGCTGCAATTCATAATAAATGCGTTCGCGGGACAAGTGTACGCGCTGTCGACGCATCCGTACGGCTGCCGCGTCATACAGCGCATACTGGAGCACTGCACCCCGGACCAGACCGCGCCCGTACTCAATGAGCTTCATGCGCACACCGATCAACTCATACAGGTATAACATAATACACACTATACATAGATAGAGCCGTATATTACTAAGTCATAATTCCGTTCTTAGAATTCAGGCGATCGGACTATCGCAATGGGCAACAGCCGTTATATTAATGTATTATACTCGTACATAGAAAAAATAAACACAAAGATGTCAAGTTTATCTATCAGTCTTTAGAATTCATACTTCTAACATTATTGTGTAGTTGACAAATTTAACACAGTTTCAAATGGCTCGCTTGGCTTGATAAGTTCCCATGGAATTACTATTTGTATGTGGGTTGTGTTGTGTTTTGTATGGACAGACAAGCCATATTTTCTTCTTCCAGAGAAGGGATTCCGTCAACATTAAATTCATACAAACAGCCGCACAACATCGTGTCAAAAGTCAAATGAGTGCGTCGCATAGTACACTAACAATTCGACACTCAACTTTGCGCGCACATTTTTGCAAAGCACATTCAATACATTTTCTTTACGACTCGTGTGTACTAAAGGGCTTAATAAATATGTTTAAACGTTTAAAACTATGGCGGGCGATCAATTTATATCGAGGATATGTTAAAGGCGATGTGTATCTGTTTGTCAGGACCAGTACGGCAACTACGTAGTGCAGCACGTGCTGGAGCACGGCGCGGCGGAGGACCGGTCGCGGCTGGTGGCGGCCGTGCGCGGCAAGGTGCTGCAGCTCTCGCAGCACAAGTTCGCCTCCAACGTCGTCGAGAAGTGCGTCACGCACGCCACGCGCAACGAGCGCGCGCTGCTCATCGACGAACTCTGCGGATTCAATGACAAGTCAGTTGCTTTTCTATGTCGCTACGATGCCGGCACGCTTCTAGTTGATTACAAATGTTTTAAACTATGTACTGGAATATTAACTATCTATTATATATGTATGACCATTACCTTCTATTTATTTAACATTTTGTAATCACTGAGGTATCCCGGTATTATACATGCGAATACGCAGTGCGATTTTTATGGAATTCTACTATTCCGAAATCGACCTGCGAATTCTCGTGTCTAACTTTTTGATGTGGACATGGTTCGTCTTAATTGAGCGCAGTCGTTCTTTTTTCAGTGCTCTGCACGTGATGATGAAGGATCAGTACGCGAATTACGTTGTACAAAAGATGATCGACGTAGCGGAGCCAACGCAGCGGAAGGTTCTTATGCACAAGATCCGACCGCATATCGGCTCGCTGCGCAAATACACGTATGGGAAACACATCATCGCCAAGCTGGAGAAGTTCTTTATGAAAGCTCCGGAACTTGGACCTATCGGTCCGCCGCAGCCCAATCCAGTCCTGTAGTCTGTGTAAAGTATTATGACGTCCGCGGATTTAGGCTGATGCGACGGCGCGGGTGACCACGCCTATTATAAATTTTGTGAATATTTGCGATTGTACATTTGTAACTATAGAGCTCGTGGAGCCGACCGGTGGCGGCGCGCTGTCCGCGCACGAGTGTGACGGGACTGTAGCGGTGTACGAGCGTACTGATGTACCGAAGTACCTAAGTACCGACGGACAGGTGTACCGATGTACCGACGTACCGATGTACCGGCGGACAGCGCGGCGTCGCGGAGCAGCGCGGGCTGCGGCGCCCTGTACATACGTAGCGGCAGACTGATGTACAGAACGATACGATATACTGTATACTGTAACAATAGTTGTACAGCGTCGACGCCGACTCCGGTGCTCGGCCGTCGCGTCACCGCGCGGCGTAGCGTTTATTGCGTTTGTAGTTCTTAAGTGTTCTAGTATTATTCGTTGTTCGTATGAATCTATGTATAAATATTTGAACGTCTCTCATTCTTGTGTAATTTATGAATCGAAGGAAAGCATACGGTCGACGAACCCCTGCGTTTCCGTAATTTAGCTCGTTGTAGATTTACTATTAGCTGGGCTAGGGGACCTTGAATCTTCTAAAGTGATGAAGAAATGCCGCAGGCAGTTCTAGACAATCGACACTATAGTCGTGATTATGTTATTTTGTACTATTCTTCAAGTCAGCTCTCGTTTAAGTTAAAAAAAACCGGCTTTAAAATCGTACATATTTTATCGAATATTGTTTAGTGCCGGAATGTATAGTTTGTCAATTATAATTTTGTGAAAATGATATTTTTGTATATTTTTATGTAATTAAGTTATTTAGTTAATGAGTCTCCGAGAAGTGGAGCGAGCGCTTATCGAATGAACGATGCTTATGTTAGTGCGTAGCAACGCGAGCGAGTGGTCGCCGCTCTCGCCTTAGGTTATAGTGATGATTGTAAAGTCCTGTACTGATAGTTGTAGTTCCGAGGTCTACCTTGCCGGTTGCACGTCACAAGCGTAGCTACTCCTCATTCCCCGTGTAAAATTTTTATAGGAAGCGTAGTTTCCTACGTCACCTCAGATTTTTTACGTCTAGATGTAATTAAAAATAAAATTATTGTATATGGCTGTACAAAAATGTTAACAAAATGATTTGTAAAACCTGTATGTGATGGAATAATAAGGCGAGGCGCCAGGCGCGGCGAGGTTTGACTGATCGCCATGCCGGCCGTCTCGCCTTGTAGGTTGTACTAGATAACATTTATATGATGATCCATATATTTAGACATTAATTATAATAAAGCATTTCTGTAATAATATTACAAAGTATCCGTGGTTTTATTGTACTTACAAATGTCCACTACATCCTTAATATAGTCCCTGAACACCCACTTACCTGCCTTACAATAAAAAAAACTATATTTGATGTGATGTTTTATTAAAATTTATTATTTACAATCCAAATAAAAGGTTTATGCCCTTTTTAAGTTATTCTATTTATATTTACAATTACTTTTTAGTTGCTTAATTATTTAAATAAGCAACTAAATAGTCATTTTAATTTTAAATAATTCGTTAAAAATTACATTTCTATAATTTATAATTACAATATATTGAATGAAGAATCTCGTCACCTCCGGTCGAAGTCGGAGGCATGGAGGAACGGTGTCCGAAGGATTCATGTACTGTGATTCTAATTGAAGGTTTGCCTAGTTATGTAACTAGTAGCAGTGCTTGGAGAAACTAATTAATGGTGTACAAATAAAGGCACTATTCACATTTATACATATAAATAATATTGGAGTGTCGGTTTGTAATATTGAAAAAACTGTGAATTGTCCTGAGATTATTATTATCATTATTTTCGCCGGTTATCTCTATTATTATATGCGGCAATTAAACACATTGCGATATAAGTGAGACGTTCGACGATCTCGGTGGTATAGCGGTTTAGTACACAGTGTTTTTTACTACATGCATATGAATATAAATACATACAACAAAATAACGTTTTACAATTTTTGTCTGTCTGTCTGTTTGTTCTGGCTAATCTCTGAAATGGATGGACCGATTTTGACGCAACTTTTATTGGTAGGTAGCTAATAAGCAGTAACTTAGGTTACTTTTATTTTAGAAAAATAAAGTTATTCCAAACGGACGAAGTCGCTGGTGCAGCTAGTTATTAATAAAATCAACGTGATATTCAACGAGCGACCGATGCCCTCGTGTATTTCATAATGTTCACAGTACACAACCAATTGTGTACGATACTACTAAATAATAAATTTATTTTAACCCACGTTAGAATCGGTAACAGTCCTCTGCAGTCCTAGAGGTACCCAACCTCTAAACTATGTCAGCCGCCAAGGAAAATACTTTGTATCTTTCGGTTGAAAGTTGAGAGAAGGCAGTGTAATTACGGGATACAGGGACATAGTCTTCCGAAATGGCAACGCATAAGTGGTATCACTGATTTCACGTGGCCGTTATGATGTTCATGTTTACTACGACGACGCTTAGCAATTACTATAAATTATCTGGAAATTCAGTTTATTGGTTATTGCAGACACGAGGTAAGGTTTTTAAGTAAATGCAAATAAAGTGTTTTGTAGAGTCATACAAAACATTTTAGCTGAACCTACATAAAATGCATTACTGCTAGTAAATCCTCGCTTTCCGTAGGTACATGATACGTGACGAATTATACAATGAAATCATAGAAGTTGTAGGAATAACTAAGATTTGTTTATGGCTGAAGACAGACATTACAAATTTACTGTTATTTTTATAGCGTCAACATAGCAATGTTTTTTTTTCGACCTTATCCTGTTGGCTGCAACTGGTATTTACAAAGTCACTGGACAGGTAGGCGAGTGTAGACAGCAAGAAAGTATCTATTCCAACACAGCGAAAGAACTTATTTAATTTGAGAGCTCCACTTGAGTACCGAACCTGAACTCAGGGCGTCGCAATTTTGATTCCTTTTGGAATGGGAAATGAGATCGATTGGAGGGGCTACCAGAGGTGTCGGTGTGCCACGCCCAGGCTCCGCAAAGTAACCGGCGAGGATGGTATTGTGTTTGTGTGATAGCGAGGCAGGTCTGGAGCGGAGGACGTAGTTTTATTGCTTTACTCCAATGTCATTCTATAGGAACATACTGAGTATAGTGGACCATTTTAAATATCTTGGACATATTGAGAGATAATACAGACGTAGAGCGTGAAAGAGGAGCATTTGCAGTTACAAGTAGAAATAACTACATATATTTCAAGATTTTTGTCAGTTCTACACCAGGAGCTCCTGGGTCAGTTTTACACAAAAAAATCATCAATGCGATACAGTTAAAACGATTAACGTGACTACTAGGTAGAACGTGGGGTTCCAACAATGTCCTGATGGTAATTTAACCCTTATTAAACCTAATTTAACTAATATAAATATACTACAACCATCCAGCTGACATTTTACGTGAGATAGAGACAAAGAAAACAAACAGAATTAAGTGAGGAATATTTTCATCAATAATTACGTTTAATCAATAAATTTAAAGAACTGTATTACTTAATTTAAATTTTCAAGTTATTCCATGATAACAAATTTAATTAACGTATTACATCAGGGAATCAAAATATGCAGACATAATGTGAGTTTGCTCGACCGCTACTTTTCTTCTTCTTTCTCCTTGTTCTCCTTAGATTTAGGCTTAACACTACGTTCGCGTTCACGAGGGCGGTCGGGTTCTCGTTCGCGTGACCGCTCTCGTTCTCGGGAGCGTTCCCTCTGACGTGGTGACCGCGAACGGGACTTATGACGCCGTGACCTCGATCGCGACCTCTCTCGACGGTATGATCTGGAAGATGGAAGACGTAATAACGTCATAATTTAGTTAACAACATCAAGTTCTAATTTTAAAAACTAGAATTAAATATCGCACTATACTTGACTTCTGTCATGCTCATGTGAGTGCCTTAAATTCAATTAATGTTTAAGTAGTTGAAGATGTTTAGTTAGATATTTCCTATCATTCATCGGTAGAAATGCATAAATATATATAATTGAAGAATTAAAAACATCTGTTATGCGTAAATGGCACTTACTTGCGTTTCCTATAATAAAATTAATAATATTTTAATACTAGAATACAATATAATAAAAAGGTGACAATTTTATCCTACTAAAACCTTCATAGGAGTTTGATAGATATAATTAAGAATGTTAGTTTTTTGTTCATTCAATCTTAAATACTCGTGAGATTTGAATCAATTTGTTATACCTAAAATTTATTTAATAATTGAATAACACAGAGATTATAATATGGATTTGAATGTATGAAATAAAATTTCAACATATTTTGTCTTTTCGTTATTTCGCTATCTATAATCTCATGACATGACTACTTTGTCTGTCGCAAAAGCAATATTTTTTCCCTGTTTTTGCATTTACATTGAGGTTACACTCCTATTTGTTGTGGCGTGGTGATACATATCCTATAGCCTTCCTCAATAAATAGACAAACAAAACAATTTTTTCAATTAGAATAGTTCATAGATATCATCCTAAATCAACACTATATAGGGACGAGGCTATTGTCATTATATGACAAAGATAATACTTGTATATTAATAGAATACACTTAGTACAAAATCGCTTTCATTCTGTACCACCAGTTGCTACCAAGAAACATAATACAACGTTGGTTTGTATTGTCTGTGGATGTAAAGGCATATAACATCTAATTGTAAGTCTTCAGGAACGCGTAAGGTGAGCAGTGTGAGATGTCGATGCTGTTAGACGATGGTTATTAGTCATATTTATTAAAACATTCGTACTTACTTTTCTCGTATCCTCTCCGGTTTAATAGACCTGGAGCGATCACGTTCTCTGTCTCGCTCACGGTCTCTATCCTCCTATCACCACAAAATGCACATTTTTATTATAAAATGCTAGCTATTATATAGCTATATGTAAATAAACGTAATAATACTTAGTGTACATTTAGTGTATTAAGACATTTCAATAATTTCTAGACTTAGTATAATTTTTTTTATTTTAGTGGTGTCATCCGCGTGATATTTATAATTTATGTTATTAAATACCATATATAATATATAAGCTATATTATTGTAAAGTTTCATTAAAATCCATTCAGTAGTTTTTGCGTGAAAGAGTAAGAAACATCTATCCACATTCACAAACTTCCGCGTTTATAATTGTAACATTAATATTAGATTATTAACAGTAAGATGAGAACTTACATCATCCACCCGTCTATCCCTATCTCTCCTGTCGCGATCTTCACGCTCCCGCATTCGTTCCCGGTCGCGATCGCGTTCTCGATCTCGGTCCCGGTCCCGTTCCCGTTCTCGTTCGCGGTCGCGTTCACGCTCGTGCGAATGCGGCGGCAGGCGGTACGGCGGCGCGAAGGGAGGCGCGCCCATGACGTGTGGGGAGGGCGGCATGTGCGGCGCGCCCATCGGCGGCGTCATGCCCATGGGCGGGCCCATCGCGGGCGGCCCCATGGGGCCTGGCGTCAACTCTTTGATCTCCGACGGTACCCAACCGCTTTGCTCAGGATGACCTATAATATAATAATGATAATGATATATCAAGGGAAATCACATAGAACCATCTAATACCCAAGCTAGGTGAGGGAAGATTGATAGTAATGTTTACTAATAACCACATTGCTAGCCAAGTTACATGTCAGGTCCTCCATGCGGTTTATCGTGGAAACTATCGTGAGATTCTTAATGAATTTGCCATGATGGGCTAACTGACCTGACTTCATGCTCATCATCCTTCACTGATGTCCTGACAGCGTAAACCGTTAGTGAAGGCGTAAACACCATTCCATTATCATCGGTGAAAAAAAACCCAAGCTAAGCGGAACTCGTGTCATACATTTATATGGTAAACTGTACTGTTTGGTAACAAAAACCACAAAATCAATATAGATAATAAAAGAATGACAACCATTTTTTTATATTACAGTAGTAGTAGTAAACAAACGGCTCTTTGCCAGTAGTCAATTCTGTAGCATCGCAAAGAAATGCCTGCGATGCTACATATATTAAATTCCATTATGACGTTCTTATGATAAAGAACACTAAAATCGAGGTCTAGTTATGGCAGTAAGAACATACCCCAGGGCTCCTCGTAGGGCGCGTGGGGCGCGTGTGGCGGCGGGTAGTAGTGGTCCTGCGGCGGCGCCCCGAAGTACTCGGGCGGAGGCAGGTCTCTCGACGGGCCGCCGCGCCCGTACTCGCGACGCTCCGCCGTCATTACCTGAACACGTCACCGTAACCATTAAAATTTAATAACAAATTATGTAATCCTTATTTTTAAACTTTCGTTTTTAGTACATATGGTCGACCGTTACCTAGATACTTCTAGGAAATACTAATAATTAATTCTCCCTAGTAAGACAATCTAAATATTGTGTCCTAAGCACTAAGCACTGTACATTTAATAAAGCTAAACGGGTTTTAAAATGAATAATTTTACGGTAAATATAGTAGGTATTATTTACTTCTCTCAACGTTTCAATCAGAGCTCGTGACCACGGCAAGTGCAACAGTCGTATCGTAGAGAAACGTAAATAAATATATTTACCAAGAGATTCCTCTTCGTTTCTCTTTTTGTTTTGTTTCTATAATATCAACAATAACAAAATCAAGATATTTAATACATTTAAAAATTATTACACACACAAAAAGTGCTATATTATTGCCGAGTAACAGGAGCTGGATTTCATTTAAAAATATTGCATCCGCGTGACATCTCGTATTAAATAACGTCATAGACAAGTATAAAATAAACTGTCACTCATGTTATTCTAAATATCCTTAACTTACTTAATTCCATGATATGAACAGATTTTTTGTATGATGCGATTATTTAATGAATGCAATATAAATTAGGCTTAGTAAAGCACTTTGTTACCTCACTGCTGAAGGACTGAATTATTTTTGGGTATAGTTCATTACACTCTCTGACCGTCACAAAATGCATAAATATGATGTAGATTACCTGAATTGTGTTTTCCCGAGCTTGGTAATTATTAGAAACAGACGAGCCCATCATTCCCTCGTCATTTCTAATGGGGCCTGAAAATTATAATTAGCATTATTTTATCACAAAATCAAACAAAATACACATATAGTATAATTTGACGAAAGAAACTGACCAGGAGGACGCCTAAGGTCCGGTGCAGACATTCGTGGTCCAGATGGTGTCGCGTGGAGCCCTACGCCAGCTTCGTTACACCGCATTCGCCGTTGCCGCTCACAGTATGCACTCCAGGTCACCTCGTTAAAGCCATAGTTGAAATAATCTAAAAATTAATTCTGATTATTATTGTTATACATTTTTCAATTGTTGTTTTTTTTATAACTTTAACCGAGTTAGGCCTTCGTAGAAAGTTGTATACCATAAGTACTAGCCACATGGCCTATTAGCCACAATCAAGCTTTAATAGGAGTGTTTAAACTGAAGAGTGAGATAGGACAGTGAAACAGGGGGCATTATATCATAATAATGCAGGATGTGGTATATCACAGTCATCACATGACAATGTGATGTCAATAGTGCCATTTATATTAGTAATGGCAAGTGATAATAGTGCTACTATTACCACTTACCATTAGGAAAGCCCTCAGCTTGTTTGCCATTTTAATTATATAATAAATATTTAGAAAACTTTACTTATATTTTTAGTGATATTATTTACAAGACCACATGAAACTTAAAACATATAACTTAATAAAGTATTTTTTTCATTAATATTTAGTTATAGAAATAACTCACCAGATATATCTGCACCTGGTTTGTTCCACGGCTTATCCTCAATAGTGTCTATGTTAAACTCCAATGCGGGCACTCCATTTATACTGCCCGGCCCTTCTAGATCTTCGAGTGTAACTTTACCACCTGCAGTGGTACCTGGACGAGGCTTATCGGCCGCACCAGTGGCCACAAGACCTACACCACGCTGATATCAAAAACACTTTAAAGACTTTTAAAATTAGTTTACTTGCAATCCAAATTGCCAGTATTGTTAAATGGACCAGTAAATACCACAAGTGAAGATACAAAACTAACAGCCTCTGTGGTCTAGTTTCGCTTTACTTCCGATGGTCATGGGTTCAATTCATAGAATGGTGCAAAAATTTGTATTCATGAGTATAATTGTTCGTATTAGTCTGGGTGTTTTCTATTTGTTACCATGTTATAGATTTACATGATATCTGAATCATGTTTTACAAAAAAAAATTATTAAGTAAATTTATTAGGATGTTTAACAATTATACACTTCTGGGTAATAACATATTGTATATGTAACTACTCAATTAGAAAGTTGAATGTTAAGTTCTTTAAAAACTGCACTTCAAATTGATTCAAGAAAATATAGGAAAATTTGTTACCTTTAATCCAAATGACTGCCCATGAATTAAAAAGATAACAAATACACTATACTAATATATAAACAATATGTAAATTAGAAAATATTATTATATATTCCACTAGAACTTACAAAAACTAAACAAACAGGTCACTAACAACCATAGACTGTCTAGTAATGACCAAAATTATTACTAAAGAAAACTTAATCATTGTATTGAAATTATGTTGTATTTTAATTACTCTACTGAATGTTGTTTCACTAATTTTTACTCATTGATTAATAACATGATATTTTTCAATGCATAAATAGCATATTATTTATCAATTGAAAAAATATCTGAAGTGTTTTGATATTGTTACTTAGTTTTGTTATTCATATTGAATACATTATGTTTATCTATTCGATTATTATGACTTGTATTGAACACATGAATAATTTTTATCCTATATCCCTACACAAGTTTTAAAAAGCTGTATTCATTCATTTTTCTCTCAATTTTCTAATGATATCTTTGAAAAACAAAAAGTGAAACAGTGAAACTGTTACTTACTACCACTTACTAAAAGTGGTAGTATATATGGCTAAAACTTTCAAGAGTGCGATATATCTGTTCATGATAGTTTGGGCAATAAAATTTTTATTTACCTTTTATGTAAGTTCTATTGGAATGGAGTGAGTACAGAACTACTATTTATATTTTATAACATTTATAGATGTATAATTAACAAAAACATAATTCCAAGACTGCAATTTAATTGTAATGGGTCTAGGATGCCTCCAGTTTTGAAATACTAACATAGTTATATCAAAGATAGTTGTTATGGAGTCAGTAATCAGGATTACAATATTAGTTCTCCTTGATACAAGACTCTAATTACAATGTTGTGTGTATTATTATGAGCTTAGGTTTAATAACACATTTAGATATGTATTGAAAGACATTATAACAAACCATTATTAATAAGGAAAAAACTAAAAGTGACCCAGTAAACCTGCAGTACAACTACAATTTCTTATACAATGACAAACTTCTAAAGACTATTTAAACATTATAATGGTAAAAATATAATGCCTAAAATTTAATTTAAAGTGAGCTTTAACCTTTATGTTCAAGCTGGCATAAGCCTGCGGACCCGACTTGATCTCTCCAATTGTGACTTTAACGTCGTCGCTGTCGTCTGAATCGGAGTCTCCATTGTCCTGACTTTCGGTGTCCCCATTTGCCTGGTCCTGTTCCTCGCGACCCACATCGGCAAAGTGTTCATCATTAAAATGTGAGTCGTCGTTTAATTCGTTATCTTCTTGATCTTTCTCTTCACCTTCCTACAATTTAATATATTATTTAAAATACACAACATACTAAATAGAGGTTATGTTTTAATTCAGAGGCATAAAAAATTACCGTTGCTTCAGTCTGTTGTGGTGGTTTTTCATTAACATTTTTAGATTCATTCTGTTCAGCTTGATCTGGATTTGAGTCCCCATACAACCAACTATCATCATTTTCATCACCTGGCGCCGATTCTACAACAGTATCTGCCATTTTTATTTGCGTTCAGTGTTACCAATTTTTTTATTATTTAATTTGCCAACTGTTTTCGTTTTTCTAATATAGTTTTTACGGTTCTAGATGCAAGTCTTTTTGTGTACCTATTTTTAGTCAATGACTAGCTAAGTGGTGCTGGTTATATATAGCTTATACAGTCATTACGCACAGAAGATAGAATACTAATATACAGCCTAATTAAAAAAAGGGCGTTTTATTCAGTGATCTTGAGGACGAAATGCTCTCCTCCTCTAACTGCATGCGGGGTACCAATGTTACATGATATAATATTAAATCTGTTCGCAATGGGTCTTTTTAGCTTGCGGCAGGACCCCGAGTTAGATATACTTTTGATCGATAAAGGACCAAAAAATTTTCAAGGAGGGGAGGGAGAAATTATTTATTACTAGCCGACTAATTAAATTGATAAGTTACCTCTATGTACTTTTTACATCTTATATGTAATTTAATTCTTTAATTCTAATTCTAATTTACAGTCTACAGATAATTTTGAGTTTTGTTCATTTTACAAATATTATAAATGCGAAAGTTTGTATGTATGGATGTTTGTTACTCTTTCATATAAAAACTACTGAACGATTTTGATGAAATTTTGCAGTAACATAGCTTAAATATCAGAATAACACAAGGGCTATAATTTCAAAAGATTTTTTGTAAATTGGGCGATATATAATAATAAGTGTGATGCAGACGAGGTTGCGTGGGTCAGCTAGTATGTTATATTTTAAATAAAATACAGATTGGATAAGGACATTTAATTTTTCATGAATACAAAATAATTTAGTAAAGCTCTAAAGTAGAATAAAATTAAAAAATCATAATAAAATTAGGTTACAACAAAATTTGAAGAAGCACCAAAAAGAATAATACTTGTCAACTCTCAGTCAAGTCCATTTCTTCTTTTGGGGAACATCTTTTGCTCAACTTGTTCAACTTTCTGTGCTATATTTGTAAGTTGCTCTGAAGCATTGGATGCAGCTGCGCCACACGTTTCTGCTAACTGTTGCACTCCCAAAGATACCTAGAACAAAATAAAGATTGAAACATATACAGTATAGCATCATGCAGAAAAAATTATCTTCTCTAACAGTTATTTCTACATTTTTATACACTTCACAAAATATGCTAAAACCTAAACATGAAATTTTAAGTAGATAAATATGAAATCGATTTAGTTATGTTTAAGTTCTTATGATTAAGAGCATGCTTAATGAGAACTTCAAACTAAATCCAGTTAGTTTAGCAGTTATATCTTTTTATATCTTATCTAAATTCTATAGATAGTGACAAAAATAATCACTATAATAAATTAATAAATAGGTTGTGTGTGCTTGATTCATAAATGCGAAACTACCTTTAGTTTAGCATTTATTAATAAAGTACTCTATGGACAAGGTAACAGCACAAAGATTGACACTCGACTTATTTTTCATCTATTACATTAAAGGCGAATGCATTTGGTTACTACTCTCAATACATAAATAAATAATAATAATACTCACTCTTAAACAAAGCCAATACTACAGAAATAACAAGTATACAATGTTTTCTTGCTGTCAACTAAATGACTTACAGCAATTGTAAAATAATCATTTAAACAAGGAGAATTACCACATCAGCTTCAGTCTTAACCTCTGCTGCAGCAGCATGCATGTTATCAACCACTTCTTGCATTTGAGGGACTTTCTGGATAGCTTCTGACTCCAAAACTGGTGCGGCCTGTATAAAAATAATAATATATTTATATAAGATTTTAACAATGTTAATATTAGTTAAAAAAATCTTATTAATCCTTATGGTTTATTGCTATAATTTCACAACCATATTTTGACAATGTTGGAAAGTACTTTTAATTTAGAGTCCATCCAGTTATTACGATTATTTAATTATTTAAATGCACACTTTCACAATCATATATCAGATCATATCCTAAGAACGGTGTTACATATGAATGTACATTATAAGGGTAGAGGAATACCGAAAAAGAGATGGATGGACTGTGTGAAAGACGATATGGTGAGAAACGGGATGACTGCAAACAGAGATGAATGGAAGAGAAAAACATATTACGCCGACCACTAATAAATGGGATAAGGAAGAAGCAGATGATGATTTACTAATTAATTTAGTCAACACACTTTATTCTAGTATATTTTATAAAACTTGGTACAGGAAGCATTTTATCTCTGTAATGTTCGAACAGAGATGATAGCATAATGTATATAACCTACTTGCTTGCACCGATGCATACAATGACAGTGGTGTCTCAAGATGGGTTCTGCTGCAGACACTTCTTGCATTTGTATGTTTTGCTGTTGAATCTGTAATCAAGAAGTATACAATATATTATAAACTATGTCAATATTCAACAATTTGAGAGACAATGAATTCTATTTATTTTGATTTTACTGTGTTATAGAATAGGTTTTGACAAATTCTGTTTACAATACTAATTTGGGCTTACATGAATTAGTGTAGTAAACAAACTCTGTATGAATGCCCTATATATACATAAGGTAGGCATGAAGGTGGATTTACTAGTTCTTAATGCACCTAAATGTTTCTTTGCAAAATACTCTTACAACATGCTTACGTTTTCAATCAAATTTGGATCAGTGTAATTATTTAATTCCGTAGCTATTTGCATAGCTTCTGATAGTTTCTCATGACCAGCAGTTGCATTGTTAATAGCTTGAGCTGCATTTAATAAATTTATTGTAGCCGAATCTCCTTGTTGGCTCTCCAAAGGCATATTTGGAGCCAAACCTAACTTCGCTTCTAACTGTTCTATTCTGTTTTGTAAAACTGCTATTGGATCCATTTTCAATTAATCACTGTCAGTATAATATTAAATTATTATAATTAAAACTCTGATAATTATAAATCAAGCTTTTGTCAAAAAAATGAACGTCAAGAAATGGAACAATATTAAATTTAAGATTTTTTGACACTTGACATTTTCACGTTGATGTCAGTTGGTAATACATATAATCGCAAAAGCGTTGGAGTATGGTGACATATCGATAGACATATTAAATAAAGCATGCTTATCCGTAAACTTTTTATAATTACGCTGTCATAGTATCATGTTTCCTGATAATTAATTTTAATAAAACATAACATAAACATATTATAAATTATGAAGTGTAATTGGCAGTTTATTATTATATTTACATTGCTCCAATTGTTAACGGAAATAATGATGATTATGTAGCTTTATGGTACAAATCCCTTGCCTCATAGAGAATTTATTAAATTTCTAATATCGGAATTAAGAGGCCTTTCACATTTTTTGGCCTAAAAGCAGTGTCTTTGGGGTTCTGGTTCTAAGAAATTAAGAGTCGGATATACATTTTGATTCCTGAATTATATAGATAGATATCTAATCTTAAAAACAACATCTTTGAAATGTTAATTTTCTCTTTGTTAGTCTTCCTAATTTCTAAAATAGTTTATTCAAAAACGCTAAATGACAGAAGATTGGGGTCGTCGTTCATTAATAAACAAACATAAATTGATATGATATCTTTACTAAAACTTGATAATTACTTTATAAATTGAGACAGCATCGTCCTTTTTTTCATTTTCAACTTAAATATCTAAAAAATTGATCATAATTAAACCCGAAATTTCAACAAAACTTTGCCATAATCATTTCTAATTTTCTCATAAATACAACGAAATTTTTGTATAAAAAAAACATAATAATAAAGTTAATATACTTATAAATTAGAAATATGAAAAAAAAATATAAGTTTCTAAGAAAAAAATAAACAATAATAATAATTTAAAGTTGTATAAATTCCGTTGCGCCAAAAGTAAATTCTCAGTGCTGCGCTAGCGCTCGTCGAGGTAGGACCTATGCCATTTTTTACAACACCGCTAAGATAGACATTGGTCAGTGAACATTAGTATAGAGCGACTAAACAATTTTGATAATTTAAGTAATATTTAATTAATTTTGCTAATATATACTTATTTCTACGAATATTAATTTAAAGTTGTTGTTAAATATATATATATATATAACATTTATTTTAGCATGCCAAGACAAAAGTACAGTTATGCTACAAATAAAACCTACCTACCCTGCTGGACTATGAAGAGACAAGAGCATGGTATTTCGTCACACTAATGGCAATTAATTGTTAAAATTAAAAAAGAGAACATTTTAGTATTTTTTAAAATAACGCTTATCTGAGAGAAAAATGTAAGAAAATGTAAACCAATTTTACTCTATGTTTATTTTGTAGTTTTTTTTCTAAATTAAAATAGGGTTATTGTTTATAAAAATACCATTATTATTTTTACGTACATTTGTCTTGTGTTATATAGTGTATATCATCTAGTATGCAATGTGGATTGTAAATAAATTACCAAATTATATATAACTTATATTCCTTAATGTTTAGAGATATTTTATCCAATTTTATTTTATTTTACACAATACAGATATTTCTAAATTGCAGCTATTCTGTTATTATACTCGTTGGACTTTCATTACTGTACAGTTATGTCAAATAATTATGCGTGTTTGGGTGAAAAGTCAACAACATTATAAATGTTTTTATTTAGAGACTAGCTTTTAGCTCGCGGCTTCGCCCGCGTGAATATGGGATATATAGGTTATCGCGCGTTTAAAGATCCGTGTACAGTATTGGGACGTTATATATAAACCTTCCTCTTGAGTCTATCTATTCTGTCTATTAAATAACAACGAATCAAAATCTGCGTAGTTTTTTAAGATCAAAAGATACATAGATCTATTACATGTGTAGATGATATTTTAACCGGAAATTGAAGCCGTTAAAATGGTATTGGCAGATCAGTTGGAATCATCGGTATTCTTGGTATATAAGCTGGTTGCCCAGCTAACGTACCGGTTATAATGGTCTACAATTAAATTGTCTTTCAATTCTTTAGTAAGCAATATATCCAATGGGACGCCATTGCACATGTTCGGCGGGCTTAAATTTCATGACTGGATCATGCTTTTGAGAAATTCCTTCCTCAAGTTTGAGCATTTAGTGTGGGAAATCACTATCTGTGCTTCCATAAAAATGAGCTCTCAAATTTGTCAGTAGTTTTAAACTTTCAATTAAAGTCCATAAGGGAGACGATGTTAATGACACAGAGAGTCTTTCAGAAATCTCCAGCAAAAGTATAAAAGTAATCCCGCCAATGAGAGCAGAGGTGTTTCTAAGGTCTTTTAAGGTTCTGTCCAAAATCTCTATAGCTCATGGTGATTTCATTACATATAATCAATGAGGCGTCTTATAATAATTTATAAAAAGGTTTGACATTAACAATTAATTATTTATCAAGAATCAAGAACCGGCCAACCAAGAACGAGAAGCTGCAATATCAGCCAATATCATGCGGCGACGTCAATGATGCAGGAACAGCAATGATAGCAGTTCAACTGCTATCATCTTTTTTTTTACAACTTAGAATGACAAACAAGCTGACGGCTCTCCTGATGGAAAGGGGTAACCGTCGCCTATATACATGAGCAGTACCTGACATGTTCATATCAGCACATTGTTTCCCTCATGCGTTGCCATTCCTGAAAACTCGGGTGTTATTCCCCTGTACCTTGTAAATTCACTACCATATATATACACAGGTAGTCTATATAGATAGATATACATATACACAGATAGTATACCCTGAGAAAGGTCATAGACTACTTTATAGTGCGAAAAAAGTATTGTAAGGGATTAAAAGCGGAGATGAAAGGTTGTATAAAAGCATCGTCATTGTTTAAGTGAAACAAAGAAACTTTTTTAGGTTATAATCTAAATATATTTCCTTTATTTGGTCAATTTCATTATACCACGCTGACGAAGTCGCGGACACACCTAATATACATATAAGGATGGGACCTTTAAATCAAAACAAAGCCTTGAAAACACAACTATTATATATAAATAAAATAATTATTTGCTAAGTATAATATTTAGAACAAGTGAATATGGCAATAATGTATCCGACTCTTATAATAAATTATATTGTATCTATTAATAAATAAACTGAATTAATACGTAAGAAGAATTAATTAGTAAATTTATGTTATAGTAATTTCGTCTTCCTGTCCCAATTATTTGTAACTCATATTACTTAAGGTTTTGGCTTTTAGTTGTACAATCGGCCAGCATCCTGACATCAACCCTCTAGGAATAATATAATAAAAAAATATGGTCATTATTAGCACTTTGATAATTAAGATAAATCACGTTATTTAAAAAAATACAATAAGTAGTTTATGTTACTTAGTTAAGTAGAAACATAACACATTATTAATTAAAATATTACAAGGATCAAAATGGTTCATACTAAATCCACACCGATTGAGCTACACGGTTATTTGCGTCTGTGTGCGTGTATTACTGTGTGTGTGCGTAAATCCATGCGATTAAACCTAAAGTTGAGCGGCATCATTTTGTAATAGGCCTCTTAATGTCAGTGATTGTCACTGAAGATCAGGCTGTATGGTCTCGTACCTTTGCCTATCCACTTGTGGATAAAATATACTACTACTGTCAGTGATTGTCACGTTCTGTCATGTTTCTGACTTCTGTTGATTTATTATGACACTTTAAATTATTTGGATTATTTGACAATTATTTATGTTTTTGCAATTAGTATAAATAATTCAGCATATTATTATTTAAAAAAAAATATTGTATGTGGATAGACTATTAATATTGTATATAAGTTAAACATAGTACATAATTAATTGTATAGACACAGTCTTTCTGACTCATCCGTGCAGAGGTATCACAATGGATGAAGAATCGGCAAATTTTACTGAAGACGACTATTATATACCACCTGTTAAATATGAGTGTAAGTTTACATTTAATAAACTGTTTGTACTGTAACATCTCTATGGAACTCTATTAGAGTATTATACACAAATAAATAAAACAATTGCCGAATCCCGCGGGACTACTTTTTATCCGAATTCATGCATTCGGATAAAAGGTATGCTGTTTTAATCCAACGTATTCTCTATAAATGTATCAAATTTCATTGGATCCATTCTGTAGTATTTGAATGGAAGAGTACATCCATCCATACTTAAACTTTCTCTTATATAAATTTAATCAGATTTATTAGAAATGCTTATCCTTAATCCACTTTATTAATTTTAAATCAAATGTCAAAATTTATTATTATAATATTAGGTTCCAGCAAATTGATTTCTGTATTATAGTTATGAGTGATGTTATTTTATTTTTCAGACTTGGATCATACTGCTGATGTTCAGTAAGTATTATGTACCAACATAAGTAACTTAATTTACTTAGGTATCCAATTTGATACCTAAAAGTTATTATTCATGTGTAGCTATAGGTCAATTTAAATTTATCTTTTTAAGGTACTTGTACCTGGAACAATATAGACATCTTTCGAATAGGAAAATTATTATTCAATCACAGAATTGAGTGAATTGAGAGACCATCTTCTACAATATACATCCTCTCTTTTTATTAGTATATAAATATGGATTATGTACATTTAATGCCTCTTTATCAAATATATTGTACCAAATCTACATGAATTTGTAAATTTATAAAGCTATTGATGCATTTTGATAGACATATTAAGTTTTGTTAACTCTTTCTAGAATGACGCTGCTTATGCCTTAGTCCCAAAGGATTGGTCCTTCAAGCCGGATCAACTTTTTTTCTTTGAATTTTCTATGGCTGTGTATAATTATTATATTATGATTAAAATTAATCATAATATCATATATCTGCTGATTTTTAATGATAAAAATCAGCAGATATATGATTATATGAATGTTTAAACATATGAATGTTTAATACAGTATTTCGAGTTGTTAATATAATTTTTATCTCAACGGTCATAATGTAGACATGGCCAAGTTGTTATACCAAGAGAGCCAAGTAAAATTTGACCACCAGAGGCACTAAATTATTGATTGTTTGTTTTATTTTCATAGCCTGCATTTTTTAATGAAATTAATAAAAGTTATTATTTCTCATTTACAGGTTGCATGCATGGGGTGACACTCTCAAAGAAGCATTTGAGCAGTGCGGCATGGCAATGTTTGGTTACATGACGGAATTAGAATATGTGGAAATTAAAGAAGTTTCAACCATAGAAGCAAATGCTGATGATATGATGGGCTTGCTATATCACTTCCTTGATGAATTACTATATTTATTTTGCGTTGAACCAAACTTAATATGTAGGAAAATTGTTATCACAGATTTTAATGTAGAAGAGTTTAAAATAGTTTGTAAGTGTTATGGTGAGGAATTCCGAATTGGAAAACATCCACAAGGGACTGAAGTGAAAGCTATTACATATTCAGCTATGCAAATTATAGATGATGCTAAGGACAATAAATATGAAGTGTATGTAATTATAGATATATAAGTAATAATTTTGTATTATTATTGGAATGGACTATGTTTTGTTACATCTTTGAATATACATGGCTTATATTGTTATTTCTTTGTTTTTATAATATGCAGATTCATGTATTCTGATTGTTACTAAGTATATATATTTAATAGTGATTTATTTGATATTATGTCTGTGTGAATTGAATGACACAAATACATAATATTGATATTTTTCTTACTAAATTTGATAATTGAATAATTTACTCACAGCATATTTACCTGAGAGAATAGTATCGTCATATCCTTTTCAGCAGCGACATATATTACGATTGTATGCATGTGGATGTGGTCTAAAGAGTTCGCTGCCGTGCGCTAATATCAGAGACGCTGGCGGATCAGCAGTAAATAATGATAGAATGAGGTTAAAGGCAGTTTGTTAGCCATGACAATTTGACAGATTACATAGTTCTCAATACTAACATTTCCCTCTCGGATCCGCTACCTTCCTTTGCCTGAAGGGTAACTATTTTCAATATGAACGAGCGCACAGTAAAGCAGAGATCGTTCGACCGGTAGTCGGTAGATGATTTCTATCTAACTGCAGCATCCGATTGGCAGAAGCGCCCACGGTTTCAGCCGCTTGACATTTACAGCCTTTGTGTTATTCTCCTCGGTGGTCTACCGGTTTACAACACCGACTTACTTCCAAGGTTCGCGGGTTCGATTCCTCGCACGGCACCAACATTTGAATTCATGAGCATGATTGTTTGTATTGTTTTGGGTGTTTTCTACGTACAATATATGTACTGTATTTACGGAAAATTATGTAATTGTATCAGTTATCTAGTACCCATAACACAAGCTTTAGTTGGCTTAACTTGGGTCTAGATGACGCTGTGTAAATTGTCCTGAGATTATTATTATTCTGATGTATCATAATTACATAATATAAAACAAAGTCGCTGTCGCTGTTTGTCCGTCCATATGTATGCTTAAATCTTTAAAACTACGCAACGGATTTTGAATTGTTTTTTTTTAAATAGACTGATTCAAGAGAAAGGTTTATATGTATACATGTACACCGGGCCGAAAAGCTAGTGTATATAAGCTAGTGTATATTACTGTAAAGTTTCATCAAAATACGTTTAGTAGTTTTCGCCTGAAAGACTGTCACAGGCAACTGTACTATTCCATTATCATATACACACGCAGACAACTTGGACAAAGTATAGAATTTACAAGAAATCATATTATTTTCTCCTATTTACCTATACATAATCTAACTAATAATGTATCTAATTATCATATCAGCTCAGGTCAGTGCGGTTTAATAACATAACGGACGTTACAAAATGTAGTGAATAGTACCTCCCATGCGTTGCATTTCTTGAATACGTACATTACAACTTGACTACCGTTAATTTCTCACCCTTCAAAATTTTCTGGAATGCTGTCTCCCTTAAGGGAAGTACCCCAGTCTAAATGAGAAAGACCGAGTTGCCCCTGTCACTATGCCTGACTCATCTGCGGTGGATTAGAGTAGATGCACAATCAAACTCCCGCTTCTTTTTTGCCGCCACCTTCCATGAGCTTTGAAAATTCTGTCTAGCTATGTTTTCCAAACTCATATCTGGCAAATACACTCTGTACCGAGCCGTTATATAAAAAAAAGTAGAAATAGCTAATGGCAATTTAAATCTCCGGAACCGGAATTGCTAGAATAAAATTAGCCGGGATTTATGACAGTTATTGAATGACAGTCATTTGACATCTGATAACATTGTCATTATATGGAGGCATTTTCTAACGGCAGTGAAAACTGGGCTTTATGATTATAATAATAATAATAATAATATTTATTGCAGTTATAGGTTGTGTTACATAATTAAATTGTACATAAGAGTCAATACAATTTTAACATACAAGTGTAATTGTGCCATCTGAACTAGTATAAAATTATACTGTAATTTTATACTAGTTCAGATTTAAAAGGATTTGACAATTTGTTTCCACTAAATGGAAGAATGGGACGAAGATTGGTTTCGCATTCATTTCTATGCCAACGCCACGGGCAGTATCTAGCAGTGGTGACAATATACTTTTATTTGCAAAAGTTGTACCGAAAAAGTTACATTGCAAATAGATTCTTTCTAACGACATCCTATGGTCCTTATTTTATTTATTCTAAAAAAGGAACTTGTGTCAAACTAAAATATGTACTTACTTTTGTTACTATAATAAACCAATTTAAATACAAGAAATACATAATTAACTGAACTAGGGTAATGAGGAAAAAGCACAGACTACTTAAGAGAACTTATACATATTTGCACAAGTAAAGAATTCATAGATTCATCTTTGGATGTCATCTCACTCTATGGTAAATCTAACTCTTACCACTTCCGGTATATTCGGATGTTGATTTCCGTATCCTCGCTACTCGCTCTATGATGGTGATGGAACGATAATTTAATTATGAATTAAGAATAAAATAATATTATCATTTAATTAATATTATTTAATATAGGTGCTTCAGTTTCCAAATGTAGGTAACAAAAACTGATAAAAGTGGTTATTGAGAAAGTTACAGCTATTTCCAAGTTCAATCGGACCTGTTAATATAATATAATAATTCTTTATTAAATAATAATATTAAATCTTTTATAATATTTTTGATACTAGGTAAAGTAATGCTGGTTACTCATTCGTACATTAGTTTTAATGTAAGTATCCTATCCCATCCTATATCCTATATCACTAAATATACCTAGTCGGTTACTTATTTCAAAAATATTTTGTGATATAAAATACAAGCATAATTTATTTCATACTGTTTGGGAATTCGTAGTGGAAGTGGCAATCAAACTAGACATAAAAGTGGTACACTTTTATGTCTAGTTTGATTGGTAGCTGTAATGGACAAATGAGAGCGAAACTGCACATATTACTATAATCATCAACAAGGAAGAATTTAAAAAAATCGTTTATATGTAAGACGATACGGATTGCTAGAAAACTAGTTCTCTCTCGGACTTAATTATATGTACTCGATCAATATCTCTCATCACTCATCTCTCTAAAATAATGCAGTGGTTTCGGAAATTACTTGCTAACGATAGAACTCGCCTTCTTCCTGTGATTTTAATTATTAACATGATTTATCATTATAGAACGCTTAATTAATACTTCGTGGTAATTATTCGTAACATTCCCTTTTTAAGAACTAATAGGTACTTTGCGTACCTACCTGTTAATCTTCGACTACAAGATTTCGTTATTGTTTTAGCTTTTCTGTACAAAATAATATATCAGTTACTACATGTATATAAATTAAAGATAATAGGTACATAATCGATATTTTCAACCTACTTACAAACAAACAAATGGATCATACAGAAACGTTCAAACGGTGCTTATATTAACAATTGAGACTGCCTCTGATATAATTGATCTATCGAATATTTGCAGTCCAAGCTTTTCGAGTCCTGTTCTGATTTAATAACTTCTACAAACAAACTTTTCTAAGATAACTTTGTGCCTACAATGATTTTGTTACATGAAAAACTCATGTAAAATCTACAGCGAATAAATAGTCTCTATTGGACTAGATTGTGCACCAACTGCAATGATAAAGCAGAAGGCCTATCTGTAACCTATCGATGCTGATTTGCGAAAGGCCTGTTAAAATAGGAGTACCTTATTGAAAATAAAATACAGGCTAGTTGATAGCTGTAGCTGCAAAATGGTTCGGCGTTTAAGCGACTCTTAAATAGACTAAGTAGAATCATAAAACTCTTAATGGATTTTTAGAAATAGAAATATTGTTTGAAATTAACATAAATAAATGAAATTAACGTATGAATATATGTTAACCCAGAACTTTTAAATTTCTTAAAATAAGAATCATCATACTATATAAGTATATTATCAGCCTAGGGTCTAAACCTGTAAGAAGTTAGGTAGATATGTTTAACAACCATATTTACCTCTATTATAACAATGCTCGCTGGCTTCCTTGATACGATTAATTCATTTCAAATCTGTGATTCCGTACTTTGTTTACTACTTCAGTTATCTCTCTCTCCTACATTGGAGTTTCATTAAGAATTGTTGAAACCGAAACATATCAAACATATCCGACTCCGAAAACATATTGCAGCAAATCGGAAAATGTACATTCACACTTACGGTTTTTGATGAGTAATATAATAAATTATTACAGATTTTTAATATTAGGTTAAATCCATCCAACAGAATAAAATTAAGTACCTATTTGTTAAAATAATATATTATAAATTGTTGTTAGTTTTTAAATGCATATTAAAATATTACACGCACTTGCGCAGAGGCGTTGACGCCAACTTTCTTAGCCCAAACCGGTCGTTCAACGAAATTTCAAAAATTCGTTATATTTTTTATGGCCTCTTGAGCGAGGGGCGGATTTGGATAGCGGCGTCCGCTAGGGGTTGCTTGCTGGGTCGCTTCGCGCTTGCGCACGTAGTTCGCGCCACTGCTACGTCGCTTGCAAGCCAGATGTTCTGAAAAGCTTCCTGTCGCCGTTCCATTGCTCCGCATTTTTATCAATAATTTAATATAAAATGTACACTAGGACTTATAAATTGTTTTCTATAATAGTGAAATAGTCAGTGATTAATTGAAAATGTCTAGAATATAGACAGTGGTTTGTGACTGAAAATTATTGAGCGTCTTGATGTCCACGAGTTCACTCGGGAAGTCGGGACCAACAAAGCGGCGGACATTTTATTTTGAGTACTCGATAATGTAGCGTTTGCGTTGAAAACATTAATGTGGTTTTATGGTTATAAATTCTTATATCGTTCGCTTACACCTTTCGTAAGTATTATGATTTCATATTGAATAATTGGTGCACAATTCTTGTATTGACTCTGTAGTTTATGATGCGGTTATGCCTACGAATTACCGCTAGATTGTCGATATTTTTGGGGAAATGTCGTTGAAAAAGTGACGTAAGCTAAAGTAGACAGGTTGAGGTTTCTTTACAGACCTTTTAAATTAAATAGAGTTCAATAAATTTATTATCGACCCGCTTCGGTTCGGAGGCTTCTCACCTGTGATATCCGCGCGCGCGGCGCCCCTAACCTCTTCACTAATTGAATTGCGATAATTATGACTTCTAGTTATGGAAATGTGCGATATTAAACATATTTCTGTATTATATTCGTATTGATTAATAGCGATGCCGAGGGGGGTGAAGCGAGGGTCGGCGGAGGGCGAGGCCGAGGTGGTGGTACGTGCTGGGGTGTCTCCATCGAAGACCACGCTTTTAGACGATAGCCCAAGTCAACCCATCAGCTACCACCTATTGGATCACGGCTATGGGGCCACGCCTCAACACCTGATCAGACGAGAGGAGCTCTCGTCACCGCCTAAAACATCAGAGGTAAGTGATACATTACAGTGCATTTTTAGATTCAAGGGAATAAAAAGAACCATTTGGGAGCTACAACATACAATGTGATAATGTAGGCTTACAACTCTGTTTAGTTATTATTAATATTAGTTATCTACTAATTTTCATCCAATAAATAAGACAACATATTAAAATTTATGAAAGAATTGGTTATAAACAGAACTCTATAGCGAGCTGTTTTAATTTGTGACTATATACACAAATTGATGTCAGAATTCAGTAGTTTATTACAATATCACATGATGTAATGTAATATACATATATTTGCCTGAGAATATACCCCCTAAATAACTTGGGACATATCTTCATATATATTGTTTATGTTTCGATTGAATTCTTCTTGCTTCAGATTCTACAGTTCCTAATTTCCATGGACATTGTTTTTACAAATTTATTATGGTTGTGGTTACTTCACATAAACTGTCATAGTTTTTAAATATGTCTTGACATGACCCAAATAATATAGTAAACATGAAATCTGTCGAAATTGTCACTCATATGTTCAGTGCGGACTTTTTGATTTCACAGTAGAGCGGGGACAGGCATTATTTTTATTTAATTTGACTTTAATGTACATAACATGTTAATATGTTTGTTAATTTGAAACATACTGGACTAGTACATTAGTTACATTGCAATAATATGATTGCAAGCACTGATGTAATAGTATTATATTACATCAGTGCTTGCAATTATATATATTTTCCTAAAGCTGACTATTGTCAGCTAAAGAGATAGCTGTATATTTTATGTTTTTGTAAGACATAGCTGATTTATGGCTCCATATGGCCAGTCCTCAGGTAAGGCTGGTCATTGCATGTACTGGTACACAGTGAAATGAGCAAGATTTGTCTAAATTAAAACAATCTATATCTTTGGTGTTCCCTGGATTTCCCACCAATGATAGCTGAACTAGAATGTAAATATTTCATATGATTACCTCATGTGTCATGCTGTTATATAGGAATTTTTAACATTTAAAAAGTATCCTCATTTTTTTGCTCTTTGCTATATTTGACTACGAATTTTATGTACTATTGTATTTTAGGTGAAATTTTAGGTTATTTAAGTATATATTATTGTGTTCAACAATATATATTATTTCATTTTATAAGACTCAGTGTCTGTATGATGTGATCTAGATTAATTTAATAAATTTTGACAGTGATTTGACTTATTTTATTAACATAATATTTTATGACTTATTTAAACTATTGAATATTATATCTAGGTTTATACCTATATTAAAGTGGAATATATGAAAGATATATCAGGATTTAGGATTTAGGACAAATGCCAAAACAATATGTGTTATAATTTTCTTCTACTGCATTAAGTAATCATTGATTTCATATAATTAACCATTTCTCTGTTTCAAGTGCAGGCATAATTGAATTTGATTTAAATCATCAAATTATATTTTTTCTTGTACAATTTCATTTTTATAAAATTAGCTATATAGGCGTATACATAGTTATCATATATGAAGCTTTATTTTTTTTAATGTCTGATAAAGGAATAGTGCCGCCTATGCTAAGCGTTTACGCTGCCGGGTCTCCAGTGGAGGATGATAAAATGGTCAGTTAGCTCATTGTAGGAAATTCACCTGGGATTTATCACTATGGTTTCCAGGGGGAAACGCACGCAAAACGTGGAGGGCAATCTGACATGGGACATTGCTAGCAATGGGATCTTTTAGTCCACATTAATAGCAATCTTCTGCCCCCTTATGAAGGCTTATTGATTTAGTCCTACTGTCGATCGAACATTGGATGCAACGTGGGATAGGGATCGATTATGTCTTGGAATAAGAAAACCGGTAGAGGCAAATGAGGTCAAGTACATTTGGGGTATTTAAAACGTAATTCTATATTAGTCTCTCTCCTTTATCTTTGTATATAATGATATGAATGGTGCTCCCGCTTGCGCTAACAGTTTACGCTGGCGGGGCACCAGTTGAGGGTGATAAGGTGAACATGAGGTCCTTTTTTTTATGGATGATAATAGAATGGTGCTACCGCCTGCACTACCGGTTTACGCTGGAGGGGCACCAGTTGAGGGTGATAAGATGAACATGAGGTCCTTTTTTTATGGATGATAATAGAATGGTGCTACCGCCTGCGCTAACGGTTTACGCTGGCGGGGCACCAGTGGAGGATGATAAGCTGAGTATGAGGTCAGGTCAGTTTGCCCATCATGACTAAATTAACAGGAATTAACAACGATGGTTTCCAGGGGGAACCGCGTGGAGGTCGAACTAACATGGTACATTGCTAGCAATGGGGACCCATTACTAACAATCACCTTCATGAGGTCATGATAATCATGAGGTCAGGTCAGTTAGCCCATCGTGACAAATTTACCAAGAATTTATCACGATGGTTTCGAGGGGTAACCGCGTGGAGGTCAATTTGATATGGTTCATTGCTAGTAATGGAGTCATGAGTCCACATTACTATCAATCCCCTTTCCCCTATCTTTGTATTTTACCTACGCTATCTCCTTTATGTCTTCGCGTCAATGTGCATGGATTTGTATATTATTTACGGAAAGGGCCTACTAGTAAGAGGGACCGTTCTTCAGTGGCGAACGGAAACAGTTAAAATGTATTGTTGCAATAGTCCAATTGGGAGCGAGATCAATTGCGTTGCTGGACATCGGTTTATGCCAGGATATTTAGTTACACATTGGGGGCTCGTATCTTCGTATATAGGTTACGGTTGAAGGGTCTTTTTTATATAATTGGAATGGAAATTAGAATAGAATTAGCTTACAGCCCACCCGATGGTAAGCGGTAGCCGTAGTAGCGGTAGCTGTTGCTGCTATGTATATAACATAGCAGCAACAGCACTACAGACATTACGATAACACGTGTCGCTTTTGATATCCTGATGTTCGTACCACTCATGCGTTACAATTCTAGAGGACTAAAATGTTATGCGTCTTATCCAGTAATTTCACTGCCTATTCTTTACACTCTACAACCGAAACACAGATTACGAAGCAAGCTGCTTAGCGAAGTAGAAATAGAAGAGACTGAAATGTATCTTTGACGTAGACGACTTTTTACATTCTCCAATCTGGTGAAGTCTAGTCTCCAGACTTTTTTATGAAGTTGAGTTTTAGTTTTAAACTTGTCCTTTTTTTTAACGATAACAAGCCATGAGATCGCATGTAGTAATTGTAAATCGATGATGGGTATGGCAAAGGATGAAAGTCATACAGCATAAGCTGTGGGAAATTCTTCTAATTCTCTTTAATTTAAGTAAGTACCTACGTTTCTCGGATTGTATCTTTGTTGTTTAGTCACTGACTGGAATTGCCGAAAGAGTTGTTTGATTATTGTTATTTTCTCTCACAATATTATCCAGTTTTCATCGTCATATTACAATATCTTGTCATAGACACTTTATGTTGCGTAGGTTCGAGCCAAAATTAGGGTGGAGTAACGGGGCCCTACCGTATCATGCAAAATTCAAAGCTAATCGATCCATTGTAAAATCTGCATTTAGAATGAAGGGTACGTAACCGGTGTTAGCCTCTGCACAGTTGAATTCCATCGGTACAGTTCTGAAATTCGCTTTTAAAATGGCGTACGTATTCGTTATTATAGAGTTTTCAAGCTCGTTTGCCCATACGTGTCGTTTTGTTTCGGATTCTCGTGGTTTAGCGGGAGTTACTCCTGTTTTTGCCGTCTCTGTCGCTCTTGCAGTAATCATGAATGATTCTATCGCACGCGCGTTTGGAAATACGAGGGGGAATGCGTGTAACATAGCGCACTCTTTTCTATTCCCATTGTTTTCTATTTTATTATACGAGGGACTTTGCCAGTTTCGGTTTTTAAAAGGGATTTACTGTCTATGATAAAAGCATTCAGAGTTGTTTGTGAGTTCATTACATTTTTAAATGGTATAAATTTTAGCCCTTGTAGGTCAGTTGGACTTTCATACATATATAATTTCCAACGTCGCTAAAACTTTTCAAAATTTAATAGGTGTCAGTTATTTTTGTGTTGAATGGGGACAATCGTTGCCGTATAGTACAGATATTGTTACTCTACATTTTAAACAAAACCTCAAAAATAACTTTAATCTCTAGAGAATTGACAATATCATAACAATAATAAGTTATCAGAAGGAATGACGTACCTAATTACTCATATTTTGCAACGAGCGTAACTTATTTTGTTAAAATTAATTCAAATAGCTCTAGACTCTATTTAACTATAGAAATATGATTGATCTTGTCTATCTAATGTACGACAGTACTTAGTAGTTTAATGTCCAACAGAATTCTAATATTTAAATAGTACATGAATATTAACTTATATAAGGTAATTGAAACTATTCACTGCTACCAGTTTATTTGTAACTTCTATCATCATACCTTCTACTGTACCATCCACTACGTTAACGAATATAAAACAGGACTACCTTAATTACGTAGTTTACTAACAAAGTTAATACCATTTATTTTGCTCTTCTTTTCTCCACTTTGTTTCAAAACAAATTAAAACTTTATTTAATAATACGAGTTACAATTTCTGTGGGAAATACTGTATCTACCGCGAAACAAGATGAAAATCAGTGCTGATTTGTGCAGAATTGACAAAATAGTGTAATTTCAATCTAATAGAAAACTTCATCTTTGAAGTCGGTTGAAAATGTGTTTTAGGCTTGAATATCTTATCAGACAGCTGGAGGCAAAACCTTATGTTTGTTGTTTTGCTGTATGTTCTTAAAATAACTGGCGGCAAGACAAGTGTATGTACCCAATTCACATATGTTAGCAGTTTGTCAAACGTCGAGAAGTGTTCTACCAGCGCCATGTGACACGACCACCATTGGTCATGTGGCCAGGTATATACTTCCTGCCTCTACATTTTTATTTATTGCATAATTGAAACATTGTCACAATCCTATTAACATTTCTCATTGGCAAGACATTTTTTTTTCATAAAACGACAGTGTCAATTTCATTTATGACTGACTGCCTGACTGTGCTAATCCATAGAAAATCCCCCGTTTAATACCCCTTTTGAAGAATGACGTCTTTTGCGACACACTACATTTTCTATTACTAATCTAATTAACACTTAATAATAAGTACCCCATTAAGTTAAAATTGTAACATTTGCGAATAATATAACGATAGTGGTTAATTACATCCATATTGAGCAAAGAGATAGAAAGAAAAGTTATGAATAATGTTCCCTACGCGTTCGCCGTCAGCTTCGGTTGCAAATTATTTCTCTGCTCCCATGGAGGGCTAAATTGATTATGTTAATAATGCATGTAGTTAACGTAAGGGACACGGTATGTTTTATCTACTTAGGTGTCAAACTTTAAGGCACATCTGCTCTGATTTAGATGCCGTACGGGTTTACACATGCGCACAAAAAGCGCGGGACCAACGGCATGCCAGATTAACAATAGTGCCGAGTTCACTATTAATAATAGCACAAACTTTGAGATAAGAAATTGCCATTCTTTCACCAGAGGTCCCTTCTGAGAGCTCGACGGCTTTTGTGTTGATTCTAATGTATGTCATGTATTGTTGGTGCCGTACCCTCCCCACACACTTCCTTTTGGGGGCTTTGGCCCCGCGCTAGATGTCGAAATTGAATTTGTTGCATCGGCTTATTGAAAATGCTTCGTGCATCTTTCTCTCCGCGTTGTAATTTTAAATGTGCGAAATAAAATATTGTTTTGTTAAAAAATAATGCGATCACGCAGTTTTGATAGAAAGCTGTTTATTTGATAATTATTTCGAGGTCAATGTATCGTTATAATTAGAACTACGATTAAAACTAATTTAGCTGTGCTCAGTAAAAATGTGTTACACTGTGATATCTCAATTGATAGAGGAGATTAACTATGACTTAGTTTGTGTCAAGAATGAGTGTCAAGTTTTGTCAAAGAACAGTGGGTAATGTTGGGATAATTTTTATATTGCCGTCAGTTTGTTTCTCGGCATTTTCATTGGAACTTGTGTCGACTTAAAAATTGCTATATAGTTTTTTTGTGTCTATTCTATACGTAAGTTATGGGGGTCTGTATTTTTATCTATATTTTTCAGTTTTTTAGTTGAAAATATTGTTTATAGTTCCGATACAATTATAATATCTTCGTAAATTTATGGAGTCACATGGGTTTGTGGAAATAATATTTGAACAAGAACGTGTTTAAACATTAATTGTATCAGATAGTTGTACAAACTTCTTTGTCGAGTAGTGCAATATCTATTCATTTATATTGAATACTACGTGAATCTAATCTGCATTATGCAAATAAATTTTTAATTTTAATTTTCATTGTTTATGTATACATTTCTTAGTAGACTGTAACAGTCTGTAGTCGCCTAAGAAATAGATATAGTTTATTTAAAAGTTGCATCTATTGTTTATTTTTTGTTTATATTTATAACACAAGATTACGCTTATTAAAACATACTATGCCCTTTATGACGTAAAAGTGGATGTTATTGCATAATAAAATGCATATAATTCAATATCACTAATGAGGTATTAATATCGGTACTCACTAAGCCATACGACGATATATTCTTGGACCTATAATAAGGTATTGATAAAGCAAACGATTTTTTAAATGTCTTCAATAATATGCATAAGATTGATATCAAAAGGAATGATACAAAATAATCTATCGATTAAGGTAACAGAAGCAAATGTAGTTATTATTTACGGTTGTCGGTGTAGGTTCTATTCAGTGTATAATTTATTCAGGATAAACAGGATTCTCGATAAGTAATTGTTTTAAACTCGTATCAATTCCATGATCGATGTATATAACATTATGTTCTGTATCGTCACCAAGTTATCTGTCAGTGAAAATATTTATATTACCACACTAAGAAATGTTATTTATCTGTGTCTACGACTATCTGTGAGTCTTAGACACAGGGGAATATCATATCGGCGATTTTTATTAACTGTAGTTTTCACATTGGTGTCAATATAATCAATTTGCCTTTATGAGGTTCATTGTTAGATGATTTTTTTTTACTAAAGCATTTTGCCTTAGTTTTGACCATTATAATTGTATTGCTTTCTCAATGTGAGAGTGAGAAGGACACTTGGTCGACGGTCCGCATAATTTAAATTGGATATATACCAGGAATCTCATACTTACTGACCAGTTGCGCCGCTCTAGAGCAGGTAGGTGTTTTTTAATGCTACAAATGGTCGTCAGCTGAAAAGATGCTCAATTGGATTCCTTTGCTGTTTAGTCGACGTCTTAAAATATTGAATTATGTATTGCACGTACGAAAATAGAGAATAAGTCGTAAGTTTGTATGGTACGAGTAAATATATTAAGCTTGCGATTTAAAATCGCCAAATAATAAAAAAAATATTTGTAATATAAATACTTGAATGTTAACCTTATTTAAGCGAAGCTATATTCTTGTTATCTTAAACTACTACATAAAACTTTTTCAAGTTTCGAATTAGTAACATCATTAACAAACTATTTTGGCGGGCGTTTCTCTTGACACATAAATGACATCATAAAATGTTTTATATTTACTTTCTTATAGAAATTATACAAATATCTAAAAGTTTCCATTTTCACGCTTTATTTTTTCAATTTGGTACGCACTATATCTGCCTAAAACACTTTTTAATAAATTAAAGGGTTTTTGAGATATTTATTAAAATATTTTCTGAAACAATAAAACAAAACAGTGAAATATATAATCCTATATATTATAACGTAATTTGTCTATGCTTAAAATCCTGTCAACAATGTGATTATGTGCAGAAAAACAAACTAATATGTAACGTAATTGTACACAGGCGGTGAAAAGAAGACTGAATCTGAGCGAGAGTAGTTCAGGCAGCCAAGGGCATGTGGTGCCCATGAAGGCTGATTTCAAGACGCCCAAACAGAAGCGCGTCAAAGTGCTCACGCCGTACAGTCGACCGTCCAGTTCTATGAAAAAATACACCGAACGTTCCAGGTACATTGATTTGTCCCAGGTAAATTTCTTAATTCAGTCAATTCAACTTTTAGCCAACGTAGACTTTATACAAAGTCCGCCAAGTAGATTGCTTTGTAAGCTGTTTCAGTTTGCAGGATGAAATATGCCAGTGATATTACTGAGTACAGAGGCATGACATCATAGTCAGGAGTCAGGTTTTCAGGTATTTTGTCGCATTGTGAATCGATTTTAATCATTCATTTTAATAGTTCTTTTTAGTTAAGTATGTTGCCTTAAACTGTCTCATAGGAGGATAGGATTTTATGAATTAAGTCATAATATCATTAAAATCAGACCGCCATACTTTCTTCATGGTATTATAAAATCCCAAATCTGCTATAGTCCCTACAGGCTTGAAGACGCTATGGTAAATTGATGGATGTCATGGTTGTAAAGCCATATTATCTACAACAAGTACCTTCTATTTTCAGCTTACGGAATATCGGCGACTAATATGTTTATCACTGTAAAATCTTAACAAATACTACTACATAGCGGAAAGTCACAGTTTCGTGATAATATTTTTTGTATTTCCGTCTTTTGACATTGTCTGTATGACACGATAGTAAGATATCTAACATTTGACCTTTGATATGAATAAAAATCAATGGAACATTATTAATACTTGTATATATCTAATTGATAGTATGTTTTGTTACAGATTTGACACATCATTAGGTTTACTCACGAAAAAGTTCGTCGCTCTGCTAAAATCATCACCCAATGGCGTCCTCGACTTGAACATAGCGGCGGAACAACTATCGGTCCAAAAGCGTCGGATATACGATATAACTAATGTATTAGAGGGTATAGGAATATTAGAAAAGAGATCGAAAAATAATATACAGTGGAAATATGGTGAGTTATTGGTTGTTACATTATGGTGAGCCTAATGTGACTTTTGTCATATTGGGACACTGATTTTTTATTTTAAAACATCCTATTTTTGTTTTATTTTTTTAAATTACTCTTAGAAAAAGTAGTTTGCAAAAGTAAGACATTTTGTTCTGACTAGGGAGCGGAACAGAGCTTAAAAGCGGTATAAATGGTTATATCAGTCATGACCGTACTAAACTACTGCTCCAACATAATATCGACAATACAGTTTTTACCTCCATTAATTAAAAAAAAAATATAAGTCCTATCTATCTTGGATAGGCTACGGCATAGCTAGTTCCTTCTAAAAACGGTTTTAAACGTTGTCGATACATCTTGCGTATTGCCTGATCTCTTGATCAGATGAGATATCTTAAGGGCTGGAGGGTATATAAAATTCACGGGGATATCTCAAACTAGGATTTTTTTTCTATAGTATAAGGTACAAACGAGCTTGCGGCTCACCTGATGGTAAGTGATTACCACCGCCCATGAGCACTCGCTGTTGCAAATGTTCGCGAGAACCCCTGGTGTTCCAGGGGATTGCCGCATTGCCGTGCGTTACCTGGTTTTTAAGAAGGAATATGCTTTCAATATCATATTGGTTCGGAAATACTATTCCAATAGTTACTGTTCTCAATCTTAAGGTTACCTGGAACTGATCGCTAGTTCGTGATAAGGCTCCCCAACTGATACCTCTTTGCCTTGCTTCTTGTAATTATATGTATTTATCTTATCTACATATTAGTTTATATACAGTATCTTGTTTGAGCACCAAAATGTTTTCATTGAATTTCATGTTTATTCAAAGTCGAAGCTTTAAATATCAGTATTACACTTCTGAGGTAGACTTTGTTGGAGGTAGTCGGCCTCTCACCTTTTTTCATTCATTGGTGATGTCCCTGGTGCAGAGTATATCGCCATTACTGTTATCCCGGATCGGGTTGCCAAAGGCTTTGTCAGTTATCTACGTCATGGCAAACGCAACTGAACATTTAAATTCTACGTTTTGCTTGATATATTGGAATACAACTTGGCTTAAAAATTAAAGAATTGGAAAGAATATTTCTTTAAATTAATTTAATATACGCACTTTGAATAGTCATTTTTTTATTCTACCATTCATTCGGAACGCAGAATCATTAGAAGAATGAGTTGCTCTTTTAAATAAATGTTGTTATAAGTAAAAGGATTAAATAAAGAGACCACTCAATCTTTGAAAAATAATAGATTGCCTATTTATGGACATTTGCGTATTTGAATCGACGCTCTGTTATATACTATATATTTATATATAAATAAGTTTGAGTGCCATATCGAATTTAATAGTCTCTTCTACCATTATACCATTAATTACCATATAGGAATAAAGTTTATATTTTATCGTGCAATTTGACAAAACTTTTGACTTTTTAAAGATAAATACAATATTTATTAATTTTATTATATTAAATTAAATGTGCTACAACTAGTTATAATATCGCACACGGTTGGGACCGGATGAGCTATTCTGATGCTGTTGACCGCAGCTGGCCTTTACAGCTTCACCGGACTATAGGGACGAGTGTAGATGGCGCTCCAAACCCGCGAAGGACTCATGGAGCGGTTGAATTCCAACTTTCGCCTGACGGATACTACTTTAGTCTGAGGGCACCGAAACGTCGTCCGCCGTCGTAATTTCGATTCCCGCTAGGAATCGACGGGGGATAGATCAGAGGAAGAGAGCGTATAGCAGAAGTAGTGAGGGAGTGCGTTGCGCAGGTGTGGGCGGCGGCGATGCTGAGGGCGGCGTGCGCGCGGACGAGTCTCGCGCGCGGAGACTGCGCACGGACGTTCGCGCGCTGTGCGGGCGCGACGCGCGGCTGGCGCGGGCGGTGCTGGTGGCCGACCGGGCGCTGCGGGCGCTGTCGGCCGCGCACGCCGGCCTCGCCTACATCACCTACGCCGACCTGCGCTCTATAGCGGACTTCCGCGCGCAGACCGTCATACCCATCAAGGCCCCGCCCGACACCATACTCAGGGTTCGTACCCTCGCGCATTACTAGTTTAAGTTGCTGTTTTCTCGGTGAAAAGACATCATAATCAAGGGTTCGTATTCTCGCGCATTAGGTAGTATTTATTTGTTACTGTCTTTTATGTAAAAAAATACTAGTAAAAAAGTAACTTAACGCAGTACTACTTTGTTACAGTATTCTCTATGATAATTAGTAAAAAAGAGACTTCAGTCATATTTTTAGTTGCAGTAGAGTTAAATGGGTTTTGTAATGGATAATAATGTAATGGTGCTTCCATTTTTATAATATAATTGAAATTTACTCATGTTTTGATAACATTTCAGGTACCTCATCCAGACGAGAATGGTTATATGTTCTACCTAAAATCAATGTCCGGTGAAATTGAAGTCTTCCTCTGTCCCAAGGAACGGCCTCCATCACCACCTCCCTGTTAGTATACCTTTATGCTACTTTCTTATTTTACTAGTACTTTTTGTTAGATAAAACATAATCGATGTCTACTCTTTTGGATTAATCTGTCATCCTGTCAAATTTCCTTAAAATCCGTTTAGGCATTTAGCCGTGAAACCGAAAGAAAAATATGAACAAGTATATCCACTTTGAAATATGACGGATTAAAGTTTTAAAAATAATTTAGACAAAAGATTCACTTTCCGTGTAAACTTTCATGATGTGATTAATGTGTGCCTATTATTGTTAAAAATTATTAAATATTCAACAAACTAATATTTTGAAATCATAGTTATGTTCTTGAATTCCAATTATTACAAAGAAAAATAATAGATAGTAATAGATTCAGTGTATTATCCAGAGACACGATATGAATATTATTTTTGTTTGTGCGTTACAGCAACGGAATTGCTACCTTCCTATCCACTCTTAGAAGATAATAAGGCGCTACTCGCTCCGCTGATAGCTCAGCTGCAACCTTGCAGTTCTAGTACTATTGCTGCAGATTATACGTAAGTATATTCTCTATTCTGGTAGGCAGCGTCGTGTACTAGTGTGGTTTACTACTCCTATACGTCCAATGGTACTACAAACATGGCCGTCACAATAAAAAAAATACTTTATGTATAAATTTATTTTTCTGACTAACTACAGAGAAGATATTTTTTTTTTAATAAAATAATCCGAGTAAAGGCTGTAGGCCCGCTACCTTGCCACGTTGAGTTAAGCGTTGGGTTCTACTCCGATAGCCTTTGGGAGGATTGTCGTGAGCCCATCACGTACAATATAATAAAATATATTTGCATCGTTTTTGTATGTTAATAGTTATTAGGATTTATTGTTAAACATGTGCATGTGTGTGTTTTAATATATAGTATAAACTTAGATATTTTTCTATACATTAAAAACTAACTTGTTGGGGAGTATGAGATTCCTTTAAAAAATCACAGTGTATCCAGAGTAGCGTTAGCATTCTAGCACGACTCCTGCAGCGTATTTTCTAACCCTAGTTTTAGGTTAATCTGAAGATGTCATAATTAGAAGACTTTCATTCATTAATTCTAAAAGTTATATCAAAATTAAAATTAAACTAGTAAAAACAAAATTGATACAATGTCAAGGTGTGTAGTGTAAATATGCTCTTATCGTTTGTGTGCAGCACGCCCGTAAAACGCGAGCCGGACTCCGGGGACGATCCGAGTCCGGCCCCGGCGGGCCCGAGCCCGGCGGCGGCGGGCCCGAGCCCGGCGGCGGGCCCGAGTCCAGCGGCGGGCCCGAGCCCGGCGCGGGCCGTGTGGCGGAGCGCGGACCCGACGCTGGCACGCGTTCTAGAACAATCGCCGCCGACGGATCTCTCCTCGCTCTCGGCGCTCTCCATGCTCTCCACCCCCGACAGTCAGTATACGTGTTTTTATTTTATAAGCAGTTATGTATGAATTAATAAGTGAATGGTGGTACAATTTATTTTTTAGACTGATAACCTCGGTGGTTTATGGGTTTAGTACACCACTTTACTTTCGATGGTCGCGAGTTCGATTCCTCGCATGGTGCTAACATTTGTATTCATGAGTATATTTGTTTGTAACGGTCTTGTTTTTTATATACAGTATGTATGCATTTACATAAAAAATGTTTAAGTATTCTCATATCAGTTGTCTAGTAACAGTGGGATTAGATGACAGTGTGTTAATTGTCCAGAGTTATTTATTTATTTTTTAGACCGCCTACCTTGCCTACTACTACCTTTACTTGATTGCCTATTACCTTGGCGATATAATACATTATCTCAATGACCGATAGTTCTTACCTCGACCACTTACTGTTGGTTGGTGCTTTGTAATATGTACATATTATATTTTGTAAGAGCCACAAGTGGCATTAGTTATTATTAATTGAAAAAAATAATGCTATTTGAATTTAAAGTTGCTAGAAGATAATGTAATTTAGCAAAAAGGCCATCCATTGTTACCTCCTTACCCTACTTATTATTATCTGTATATATTCTGCCTACACTGTAATATTTCTGTTAACACTCTGCACCCTTCTCGCACTACAATATTATATAGTAATTTATACAAAATGTATAATTAATGAAGACAAAAAGTTTGTATTTCATAATCTGCCGTGTCCTCCCACGCTACTCTCTCTCGCTCTAACTCTCTCTATAATGTAGAAGCTATTAGAGAATATTATTCTCTACATTATCCTCATAATCTTTTATACGTTTATAATCTAAAAGTATTTTTTTTCTATATTAGGTTCTGTGCGAGGTAGGCTTCGTAACGCCTTGATAGCGGAGAGCGATGATTTCGCGCCAATTATGGGTGGTGGTCGTTTTCAGTTCCAGACCGAAGACCAGGAGTCAGGTACTCATTTGTTAATTTCATTATATCTTATAATTATATTTTGGTTTTGGTATGAAGTTGATATAAGCAATATGAGGGACTTTATTCAGCATTCTATGTGTAAGTTAACTCTTCTGACTTTAGATTATGTTAAATTTTGTCTACTAATTGGTATAGATTAGTTGGAAATGGTCTAGTCAATTTTAATAGTCTTATTCATAAAAACTTAAAACTTGAAATATGCTTATTTGGTGTGTTTTGTCACTTTCTTTCAAATTACGCATTTTGTTTGAAGGAATGGGAAGAAATAATTCGCTAAAATACGTGTATTAATTGGTTTGTCTTTTTTATGAATTGAGAGGTAAGACTGAAACTATTATATCATAGAGCTGTTCTCAATTGGAGTAATCATTTTATAAATACTGGGAATAAAATTGATGATAAGATTACTTTTGAAAATAGAATAAATTAATTAAAGACTAATGTTGTTCCTATTGCTTAAACGGTATATTAGTTATAATTGTTTTTTTTTCGTGTACGTTATTGGGTCTTGGCAGGATAAATGATATATTAGCAGGATATGTTTGCTGTGGAAGATATTCGCGTTTTGTGGCTAGCACTCAGATTGTGACATGTGTGTTGAAGTCACATCACAGTCAGAGTTCTAGCTATAAGGCGTGTCTCGCGACCCGACGGACTCCACACGCTACGTAATAATGATAAACATAATGTTGCCACTTATTGTTGTAGACAGGTATTATTTACTTGGTAGTTGTTAGTGCATCTCTGACTATACTCCATTTTAAATACGATTGTTTTAATATTTTTTGTATAATAGTTACCTTAGGACTAATTTTAATTTGAAGGGTAACTCATATAATATCTTAGTAATCAAATGATATAAAATTTACAAAGGTGTTCCTAAGATATCTCAAATTACTATACATAAGTAGGAAGTCATTTGTAATTTAATTTGCATGTAAATATCTATAATTTTAAAATTTATCTTTTTTTATTCATCTTTATTTTTATACTAGTGTAAGTTTGATATAAAAATGCTATTAAATGTTTCAAATTATTAATTCTTAAGGACAAACATTCTTTTTATTTGTCATGCGTCGATGCTGTCTTATGTGAAATGGAGTTTATATGAAAAATGTATTTTTTTTTACAAAATAATGTATATATAACATTATTTTTACGTGTGTATTGATCGTAAGAGACTTTTAATTTTGTTAGTAATTGTTTGTATAATGTTACTAATTATTCATATCAAATATTATTTTTCATTATATTGTTTGTGAATATGTTTATAAATCTTGTACAGTTTTAATAAAATGCTACCGTTCTTGTTTTTAGTGTTAGGATAATAATATTCAGTCGCTTAGTCGTCAGGTTGCCCGATGGGACTAACGTCTTGAACGATAGCGGTCGGGAAACGTAGCGATGCACCGACTGTGTATTATCAGCCTTAACGCACCTTTTGCCGCCGCATCTGCATGCTTTCATTGTCATCCCATCTTCGGCTTATCAACTAACTCTGTCATTCTTTCGTGTGCTTTAATTTATAAACAAAACTTGCTTTCAACGTTCATTGCAATTTTGGTGAACTGGTTGTAAAATGTATAAGTATATAACACAGAACTCCTTGTACAGATTCATATATGAATTAACAGAATAACAAATGTATAGTTATGTCATAAAGAAAGATGAAATGCCGATACTTGAAGCCCGACTACTGCTGATGTATTGACGATTAGATCTGCCAATTTGTATACCATACTACCAACCTTCTGTTGACGAGATGGAATGATAATCTCCAAAATGTTCATTTATTTTCTGCCTCAAAACCAAACTTTGGCGTTATATGATAAATGCAGTAAGACATTTGTCAATGATACATACGTCTTAACGTGTTTAAGTTTAGTTTGAAATATTGCTGCATATAATACATTAAATATACAGTCGTAGATAGATACCCTGCAAATTTTAATTCTCATTTGGCAATTAGATGGAGTTTCAATATACCACCAAAAAGTAGTTCAGAAGTTTGCGACAGTATCAGTTTATAGTTACATATATCTATTAATAATTACTTCAATTAGAAAAATAAATATTGCTGTCCTATAATTTCATACTCGTTATTGTTCTTTTCTATTACATTTAATCACTTCTCTAATGTGTATTATTTAATTTGTGTGTAATTTATTAGAAAGTTGTACTAGATGACAAATTAATATTTGAAACGGCGTAGAAATAATCTTGATTGAGAATTCTTAACTGTTCTCTAAGTATCATCATCAAGTATGAATTCCGTTTGAATTATTACAGTTTGCTTAATTATATGACGATGTTATTAATCATACTCAATTGTGACAGATTAAAATTTACAATTATGCTTTAACAACTGACATTTAAACTGACTATTTAACAGTTGCGACGAGTTAACGACTTGCGATGCTAGCTACATCTGCAACTCTCAAAATGTTCATAGAAAATTGCAAACACATCATATTTAATCAGTTAAAATTGAGAACTGTTAATAACATCGTTATACAATTAGACTCTAGAGGCATTGGCTCCTTGGATTATTCCAAGGTACTGCCAGATTGCGAACTTGGTCGATTTACTATTGGTTCTCTTGACTAGAAGATAACGATTTTGTAATGATATTTTTTTATTTACTGGCATGAACCGAGTTTAAAAGTACATTTGTTCACTGTCTCGTTTATTCAATTATCCCATTGTTTAAATGTCTAATAAACCTATTTTAGTTACATGTAATGTTTTGAATTTTCTATAAAGCCAAAATATGAATATTAAAAGAAAGTGACAAAACACGCTATGTACTTTAAATAGGTTTGTAGACATTTTGGTTTTTATGAATAGGACTGTTTTTAAAAAGTTACGTTCCTAAATGGTTTGCATCTAGTACTACTTTGTGAGACGACAACGTAGGTGTTGGATTATGTAAATATTAGTTTATTTTAAATTTATTTAACTAAAGTTATACAGGTTTTACATATATACAGTTATCGCCAAACTGCTTGACAGTTTGTGAATAAATATACTAATGTTTTAACAATTGTACACGATTGAAATGTAATTGGGAGAGTGTGTGTGTGGGGTGGGTAGGGGCGCGTCGTCCGCGAGCTGCATCCCGTGCGGCTCCAGTGTCTCCGTGTAGCACCATGGGATTCAGCTCACGGCGGCGCACTAACTCATCTACTAATCCACGTAACGCCACCATCGTCCGTAACGCCATGTCTAACTACGTCCGCACTAACTGGCACCTACTGCGAAATACCGTTGTGTTTAACACCTATTGGGAGGTTGGAAGTTGACACCCCTTGTTTGTAAGCACGTGAAACTGTCTGTGTTACTGTACGCCTATGGAAATAAAGTCTAAATCTTATTTGTGTAAAGCTATGTGAAACATAAACTGGCTGTGATAAATTCCTTTTTTAATTGAAGGGTTGTCTTGGTTTCACAATTATATTATATTAATCTAATTATCAATCGATGAAGCATTTTAAAAAATATAAATGAATTTTTTTGACGGCTGACGTTCTTACAAATTTGGAGGTGGATTTGTAATTATTTTTGTAAATAAAACTCAATATATTTCTGTGTGTATTATATTTTTATATGTGAACTATATGCCTGTACCGCATATTATTTTCTACATGTCACACATATAATGTCATTATAACTATGAAAGATTTATCTTCAACGTATTTCTATAACAGGAACTTATTTTGTGTATTTTGTTTTTTTAATTATAACTACGTACATTTTTTACAATAGCTTTTTTACAGTTGTTATTTACCTGCAGTGAAAATAGATGGATAGGTTTATTTATTTATACAAGTAAAGAAGCAGACGTTCTACTCTTGAAGTCAATTCCGATAGATCTACATTAGAATGTGATATTTCGCAGCTTTTTGTATTCGTAGATCTAGATATAGAGATTGGATTCAAAAGTAGATCTACTGTATATGTGTGTGAGTACATATATGCTCCGTAATACAGTGATCACGCTGATCTTTATAGAAATATTGCCAGAGTACATGTGTTGCTACCATTAAACGTTAGAGTGAGACAACAAGTTGGAGGCGATCTCTTTTTGCCTGCAATACCAACTATATGGTAGTAACACATTTACTTAAGTTCACGGTCATTGGAATGTTGTTCTAATATATAAAATAAATAAATATTATTATTCAACGAATATTTTTTATAAATATTATTATTCAACGAATTATTTTTATTATATTTGTCTTATCTTTTAAATAGTCAACATATAGTAAACATATGAACTAAAATACAAGCCTTTTACGGACTTATATATGTCAACAATAACGGTCTCTTTTTGAACTATTTCCATGCCCGTATTATTTTCTTATCTTTTAAAATGCCGCCATAAATTTTGATAACCTACTATTTAATACTTAATAGGAATAGAAACTGGTTATTATAGTGGTTACGAGTGTTATGATAGTATATATATGTTACGGAAGATTGTAAACTGTTAGATTATATGCTGTCGATAAATTAAAAACTATACTGTACTGCATACAATGTAACGTAACGTATTTTATAATGTATCCATATAAACCGTGAAATTGTGAATTTACGATTCATCGTCATGGTTGATCAAGTTTAAATATAAATACTTATTGATATACATAAAGTATAACTATACTTTTTATGTAATTAGAAAGGCAAGGTGACGATCCATCTGATGGGAATCTGTAACTATCGCCGAACTATCGTTTATGAACAACACTACCTACATTATCATGTCAAACCTTTGATACTCGTGCATTTCTATTGTAGAGGAGTCATGAGTTATGCCTCTTATCCTGTAATTTCACTGCCTAATCGCATTCTATGATCGAATCACATCTTACAAACAAGCTTTGGCGGCCGAAATAGATGACACTGAGGTGTATAAATAATATAGGCCGAAATAGATGACATTTTACAGTCTCTACATCTGATGTTTGTCGATTAACAATAATTATCATTGAAATACTCGAACTATAAATTTGGAATACATCGTATTTTAGTTATACTGCTAAATGTAGCTCTTGTTTTCTTTGGCTTATTTTCGACAAGTAAATTTAAAAACCACAAGAATACATGTTTGTATATATAATGACAGTAATATATACATACCGGCAAGAGGCAACCAATCAGCTTGCAAAATGTGATGTGTAATCGATTTGTTGAATTAACAGGGTTTCATTACAAACTAGATACCTTATATTATAACCAGTATAGTGTAGTTCACAATTTCTTAGGAGTCTATAAATTAACAAGGTATACAATTTTACGAATTATCTAGTAGATGGCATGGAAAGGGTTAACTGTAATTCAGCTGTTACAGATATGATTCGGTATAATTTCAGAGCCACTGGAGCTGGAGCCGTTCCTGGCGCTGGAGCCGCCGATGTCGGCCACCGACTACGGCTTCTGTCTAGATCACACCGAGGGCCTAACGGACCTTTTCGACTTGATCTAGAGCAAAATAACTGCAATAACCGGTTTAGTTCAATTTCTTTTACGTATCGCTGTGAAAAATACTTATTATTCAAATCTAGTATGTTTTTCTTCAATTTATTATTTCGTTACATTTTGTGACTTCTGCTCATGACGGAACTAAGGTTTTTGTCGAGTATATTTAAAGTAATAGTAAATAATCGATTCATAATATAATGGATTTAGAATAGCCAGAGATTCCTATAAAGCTATGGAATATTAATAAGAAAAATATGTATAAGATTAAAAGCTTTCCTTAATAAAATGACAACGAAAGATTTTATTTGATTAATTTGATATAAGTCACGAGTAAGTCCAGGGACTTACTCGTGAGTTATATCAAATTAATCCATCCATCGGGGATGGATATTGTATACTATTTATTTTCTGACTTAAACATTTCCGATTTCGTCCCCCAGGAATTATTTCGTTTCCATTGCGAATTCCATCTCTTTATCTAGTATCAGCTCATAGTTATCTATGTAAAAGTCATTACACTAATCATTGGTCATATATCAACAATACGATGTATCGCTAAAATGTTGAACTCCTTTGTGATATCGTACAGTGATTGATATATAATATATAAAATAGTCTCTTTCCATAGAATATAGGAATTGCTGGCAATAAATTATATTTTGTCAATAACGCTGCAAAGTGATGTAAAGTGAATATTTTTTTATATTTATAAATTACAGTAGTGTTAGAAAACACATTTTATTGTTATAAGACATGCAGAAAAATGGCGTAGACTGAAATGTTACCTTTGTTGTAAATTATAAGCGTTTATATATTTATTTAATCCTCAAACTTGACACGAGATTGTTAAATACAATGCACTTTCAAACGAAAGAATCGCTGCTGTGCGGCAGTAATAACCTCAATTGATTAGCGTCTACTATAAATGAAACTCGAGTGATTCGTTTTATAAACTGACTTGGGAGAATAGTTTTATTATATCAGAGCACTTGACTGTGTACAGTGAGAATAGGTGCTTATTTTTAATATTGAACATAGAATGAAACTTTTAACGGAAACATGACGACATGAAATGGACTATCATCGCAACAATGTCATGTTAATGATGATTATATGTAATGTAATCGCGTTGACCTAATTACAAAACGCTTAAAATGTTCCTCTTACGTCAACGGGAGGCGAATCAGCACAAGTGTGACTAGTACTCGGAAGATTCCTTGATTTAAAAAATATTTACTTAATGAATCGACAAATCCACGTGAATAAAGTGAATTCTGGAAATTATTTTTTATATTATTATTTTGCTAAAATCGCGTTTCCATCACACAATGCAGCATTTCCACCAATCTTCATATTTTAGTACGTGTTGCAAACGCGTTTTACAACATGTATTATGTTTGATGGAAACGCAGGGTTTTTTATTTTTGATAACACAATAATCGACAACGATACATAAAAGTAGATTAAATAATAATCAATTATATCTCCACGAAGTTAATTTTGAAATGGGACCTTTTGCTCTTTGCTTGTGGGTATTTTGTTTTTTCTTAATGTTAACCACTTGTGGTCTTTTTAGCCTATTGGATGAAAAAAGTATATAATAATAGATTTTTTCATAGTCGATTATTGTTTTATATGTATAAAGCAGGGAATATTCCGAGTGGTAGTGTACAAGATGTGAGGTGGTAGTTCCGGCGGTCGCGGCGGTGGAGCCGCCCTGTACATACCCCCGCTCAAATGCCGCGGCGGCCGCGGCCGCCCTGTACATATTACTATATAATGAATGGTGATATCTTAGCGGCCTTCGATTTTATTGTAAAGCTAGTTCTAGTGTTCTATTGTCATTTGTGCCGTTGGCCTATTGTTTGCATTGTTCTGGGGTGTTAAGAACCCGCTTTAAACACATCATAACATCCAATTTGTTAGGACTAGTAGATTCATCGGCGAGTTTATACGAAATTAATGATGTTATGATACGGTGTAAAAAGGGGTTTTAACAGTCCCTGTTCTTTGTATGGTTGTTTCAATTCACGAGCGCGTCTGGACTTTAGTGACTGTTGCGTTAGTGAGTGGCTGACTCCGTCAACAATTTCTACTAACAAAACCTGTATGTATCTATCCAAAAGTAAAATCCACACGCGCATATTAATTGCAAGAACTATAATGTAATTTGCCAAATATTTAGTTGTTATCTGAATTTTGACATTTAGTCTTCGATATGGTTTCGTTTAGTTGTCTTGTAAATAATAGCGCGGACCGAACGGACTCGTCGCGAACGCATTGTATATTTGTATGATTTAAATAATTAAGTACAAAAACAGGAGCGTGTATCATAGTGACTCTGTATGTGCAACGTTACGCATGTAAGTTGTTTATTATTAAACGTATTGTAAATATAAATACTCAATTTGTATCATATATATTTTATATAGCGAGATGGCTTATCAATATTATTTTATTGACGCTATCAAAAATTTATAGCAACATATCGGATGGTACTCATATGTTACGCTCCAGGATTAATGTGTCAATTGAGAAGCAGTATACGCATATTGTCGTATAGAGTGACTGTGATGACGTATAAAAAAATACCTCACGTCCATTTCGCCCGTTCGCAGACTCCGTTCCGTCCGTATCGTATAATGTACAGCACAAATCCATGTATAAACTTATTAATAAGTGCATATCAAATAATTTTAGTGTTAGACATATTTGGATGTGGGTGGTGATGCGTGGCTGGCGCGGCGTGTCGGTAGCGGGCGGCACATGGATGCAATAATAGTCTATATTTACAGTAACGCCACGTTATTGGGATGCTTCCTATGTTTTTAATCGGATTCCATGATCTGTGGCTTTACGATCTCTGTTATATTAAGAAATTTATTCCACATTGCAACATACGAATTATATTTTATATCTATTCTTGTACATAAATCTTATAGTGTAAATTTTAATTAGATATGAGCAATAGACATAAAATATATATACGTTGTTGTATATTATGTGAGAATTGTCACCGAGTGAAACATTTTGTGGGATCCTCGCTTAGTTCCTGTAGCACTTGATTGAGTCGCGACTATGACCCGCCGTCCCAGAATTATTAGGTATTTTTTTCGTTTACCAATCTATCGCGCTGATTTGTCCTGTGAGATCAATGTCTTTTAATTAAACAATTGTTTATTATTCATCACTTATTTGGATTAAGTTGAAAGCATGCTATGAAATATGTATATGAATATAATTTATAAATAAGTTATTGTTTGAACGTCTGTCATAAATTATTGTTTTTGATAACGATTTATTATTATTGGTCCTTCTTCTGTAATATATATTAAAATAAAAGCGAATTTCGTTTCAGTTTTATTTGTTCAGAGCAATATACAATAAAGAGAGACCATTCACCGTTTTTTTCTGTCTATGTTTACTAAAATATATTGTACTAAATATAGAAATCCGTCACGTCGACCCTACATAAAAATTATATATGTCATTTCCCAGACTAAAATTATTTAAACACGCTTAAACAACAACCTAATTATTCTGTTTTTGTTTCCTATTATTTGAATTACACATTATTGTTTATAAAAACGTAGTAAATATTTTGTTTTGTATAATAATAAGAATTGTTAAAAAAAGTTTACACACCTGTCACCTCTGTGTTTATAATTATAAAAAAAGACTATAATTGAAGTTATGTTCTTTGTGAGTATAGCAAGCACTATAGTAAATATATACTTTTGTTAATTGACTGCAAATAAAAATTGTTTAGACTGGTCACTCTTATTGTAAATATCATAATATTAAAATTTGAACAAAATTCGCTTTTTACACAACTGCGATTGACAGAATTAAGTTTACTCAACCGCATTGTGCGTGATAATCAAACATAGATTACTGATCGCCTCAAAATTACTTAAAACCTATTTTGTGAGGGCGATTATTTTTTATTTATAATCTGTAATTAAATTGTTTATAACATAAAATCTGGGGCCAAACATACGAGAAAAGCAAGTACAAATTTAACAAGAGTTTTCTCGTAATTTAGTTTAAGGGTTTTTTACGCTACTTCTATTGTTGACATCGATCGGTACTTTGTTTGATAGAATGGTGACGATGCGTAAACTAATTAGTCTATTGGATCAATCAAACGATCGATTAGTTTTAATCGATCGTCGTGCAAACTTTAGTCTTTCTAGAAATTGTCTCTCAGATTTTATATATCGACTAAAATGACATACATAAGGGGTATCGATTTTTTGTTCTTTGTTAAAATTGTGAAATGTCATTAGTCTAATATTAGGGAATCTGAATTATAAGTTTAGGTGTTACAATTACACTCAGATGCTTATGTATATCGGCTTCCATTGCACCTTTTTGTCATCTTTTTTATAAAGACTAAAGTTTCGTGTTTAAAAAATTCAGTGGATTGCCTAAATTAATACATAACAATAAATTTAATAAATAACCAATAATTTTTGTAAATTATAATTGCATGTGGAGTGTCCTTAAATATTTTGCTGGACATAATGGACATAATTGTAGTAAATAATAATTTTGGAAAGGCTCGCATAAGTCGGATATTATAATTGTAAACGAGGCTCTTGAAACGTCGATTCTTATTTAAATTATTGATTTTGTAATAACATAAGACATGTGTAATAATATAATTGAAGGAAAGTTTGTAGTGTAGAATTAATTTATATTTGTTGTTACGGAATATTTCTATTTTAGTTTTAGAGGTACATTTTGCACTGTTACATGTAAATGAAAATTTGTATGAGCATTGTTATGACTTCGAAGTTACAGGACAAGAGGCATGACATTTTAGTACCCTTGAATGGCAATGCATAAGTTGTTTTACGAGTGTCATATGTTTGATTCTAATTGCATAAAAATAATCGGGGGATTCAAGAGCCAGTCGAATTCAGGTATTTGACAACCATGCGATAGATGCTTAAGATGTTCTAGTTGCAAGTAATGTCTAAGAAATTACAACGAGTTAGTCCAATCATATGTAGTCGCGTCGGTCCGACGCTGCACAGGGTCCTAATGTAGTGCTGACAATATCGTTGTTTCTCCAAGAGCAGGTATCATGTACATACATATTCATGATCGATTTGTGACACTTCGTAATTACGAAAGATAATCTTTGTATTTGTTTCAAATAATTTCAATAGACAATATCAGTTATAAGAATAAGTTATTTTATCTATTGAACTTTTTTCTCTTTTTCTTTCGAGGTACACTCGTTTCAAAGCAAGTGACAAAATAGATAAAGTGGACTTATATACAATTTTGTTACACTACAAAAATATATATATATATAAAGACGCATAGAAATTATAACATTTTATACATAGTGTAGGAATCGTATTTTATATGTAATTGATGATGTTATCTCCCAAATTTATTCATAATAATATTTGGGACAATGTAATCACCAATGTCACGCCTAGAAGAGGATAACAGTATCAGACAATACTGAGAAGCTTATAAAAATTACAGTATATTATAAACTGACAACGAATTTATATATTTTTACAAAGAATAAAACATGTGAATAAAGAATGATATCTATTTATATTCGCTGTAGATATTATCTAATTTTTTAAATTGTGATATCATGTCTTTACATAGTATAGCAGAAGTTGCTCCCGCCGACTGTTCGCTTAGATCTTTTAAAACTACGCAGCAGATTTTAATACAGTGTTTAGCAATATATAGGGATTCAAGAGGTTTATACGTATAATACACCCGTTCGAAGCCGGGGCGGGTAGCTAGTATGCTATGTAGATCTGTCATACATAGAGCTAAAAATAAAATCTTTAATTTTGGTAAGTGCGATGCATTACCAAGGCAGATGTGACTGATTACTTAATCATATTGACCGCCTCATACCAAGTGGTTATTGTAATTACGAAGTGTCACAAACTCTAGTTTGTATTGTATTATTTCAAAATGCGGCATGCGGTATATCTCACAGATTCGTTAATTTTGTCCTATTATGACGTATCTTCTAATTTATGTACTTATATTTTGTTATATAAAGCGCGAGTGGTCCTTGCGTGTAGGTATTTAATACAAACATGTCAATAAACGGGTTGTATCCATACATTTTATATGTTATGATCGTAAAACAGGCAAGTAGTGCTATGAAATCGAAACTTTTTGACAGTATGTTTTTGTGTAACTTTCTGGTTTAAAATGGAAATTGAAGGTGCAATGTTATAATATATTTAAGGAGCGTGCGAAAGTTTGAAGTGGCGATATATTCGCGCCATTTTGTTGTTGGTGTGAAGCCTGTTTGGTTAGTATTCATTTGTGTTGGAAGACTGAGGTTGATAATTCCAGTTTCGATGAACGAGCGAGTTATTTGTTGATTGAATTTAAATATAAAGTCATATATATAGTTAGGTTATATTTTTTAAATATAATATTGAGATATGTAATATAACAATGTCTTTGATTTATTTTCCTCATATTATAATTACATACTTTTAACATTTGGAGCACCGTCTCAACATAGGCTAAGCTGCGCAGACGAAGATCTTATATGAGATGTAACAAATTTCCCTATTCATCACAGGTTTGCAACAACTCCTTTACTTTATAGTTGTAGGCGTTAAACCGTCAGTTCATACTTACGTGCTAAATATCCAGAAGTGTCCCATTCCTCAATTTAACAAAAAAATATGAACTGGCCTCTATTATGGATATGAAAGCGCTTATTAAACGGAAACTTTATTTTTTATTGACTAGAACAATCTAAACTCATATAACATAGAATATAAAATAAAAAACACTAAAATATATTTATATGTACACACATCTAGATAAAGTAGTTCCGCTGCCGGTATCCGGATATCCCTTATTGAAGTTGACACGATACGATACTCGAATTGAGGGCTATTTATTATGATCACTATGAACATGAACAAAAAAAACTATGGCGTGTCGTCAAAAGTCGAATTATTAGATGCTACTATAGTACTTCCACCATTTTAACATCATTTCAAAAATTTTTTTGTGGTTATGTATATGTGTAAGGAACTATTATGGATGGCACGGTACATAATTTCCTTGAACAATCCTGAGATGGATTCTCTACATATCTATCTGTCGACATTTAGTAGTATCATAAATATTTTCAATTAACTATTACAGCTTCCTGTTCGGTAAACAATGCAAGTCTTACAATCATCCTAATCTGGAGATCCTATTAAAATGTACAGCCAGCTACATACAGACCGTAGTAAATATTGATCAGAGTTAAGTCAGGTGATACAAATTCAATATTTTTTATATTTTACACTATCGCAATAACCATTAAATTGAATATTATTATAGCAATCCAAAGATTTCGATAACATTTTCGCAAGTTATATTCAATTTAAAAATGTTGAATGTTGTAAGTAAAATGCTGGTTTTTTATGCATGACAATGAACCCCCCCATCCAATGAATTTATGGATGAAAAAGCTATCCCCTTCCCCCCATGCTATATGTTTACTTTGATAACATTAGATGCTAAAATACAAATATTGTATTAACTAGTAGAAGAACTATATATGGTCTATTTAGGAAGCTAACTGTACCTATATACTTAAATGGCAATACTGTATCTACATTTTTGTACGATAACATTCGTATTTTTTGCAAAAAATCAGTCTTTAATGAAGTCACTTAATGTGAAATTTTTGAAAGATTTGCTCCAAATATCTGTGAAGGCGGTGCTCACGAAGTCGTTGATTAGAGGTCTTATCACCGCAAATCCAGGCTTCCAAGCAGCGTTGATAATACGATCGAGTACATTCTCTGGAAGAAAAAGAAAATTATTCATTATACTATGCAAAATGAGGGGGGGGGGAGATGATGTTATTGCCAGGAATGTACCATGTCAGGTTGACCTGCACGCAGTTCCCGGGAAAACGATCGTGATAAATTCTTAGTAAATTTAACATCTATAAAAAATAGCTCACCTAGCCTTTTTTAAACTATGCAAAATTTTTTTCCACCCACTGAGCAAAACACTGCATTTTTAGGCGATTAAATCGGATAAAAAGGAAGTTTAGAAAAAAAATCTTATGTTATGATTAAAACGGGCTTATATGACCATAAAACCTTGAAACTGAAAGTATGCAAACAAATACTTGCAAATATACCTAACGTGCTGAGCGCTAAATGTTCCCCAGATTCATAAAAATTATTACTAGTGACGCAAGCCCAGTTCCCTTCATAAAAAACCTCGGTTCCGCAATTTCGTACCTATACTTTTTTTAATTATATAGACTTCGGCCTGTAAGTCACGAGGCTAGATAGTTACAATGTGCTAACTCTAGTATAAACAAAAATCTACGCATTTACATAATCAAGTAAAAAACAAACGCCTACAAACAATTTGCAATATTTAATTTTACAATTGTAAAATCATTCTTAAACTGGACATTTCAATTACCCAGTTTTGAGTTTAGTTTGTAATACATATACAAAAATATTAAAATATGTATATATAATATTTCATTTCAATGTTACTATACCTAAGTATAATTTTGTACCTTATTTTCAATTCAACTTTTTGTTAATAGAGTAGAATAGAATATAAAAATATTCCTGTTGAATTATTATAGTGAAAGTGTTAAAATTCGTAATATCATCTTTAAATAAACCACACAGTCACTTTAATGTGTTTATAATGTCTATTTGAGAGACTAGTAAACCCATTGCAATGACCATTTTGGGTCGCCCTTCATGCGGTTCCTTCTGGAAACCATTGTGGTAAATTAAGATTAAACTTTTCTGAAGAGAGAGGATGAGAGAGATCCTAGTATAGAGGATGAGAGAGAGATCCTAGATTTCATGAATATTTCACAAACTTTGTGACACTTTGAATCGCTTGTCAATCACAATACAATGTCACATGTTATTCAAGCTTGTGACGTAGATATGTATAACCGCCCTTGACGTTTGTTGTAATTTATAGATAGACCCTAGCTGTTTACAATCGGCCATCGTCGACTTTATTTACTTATCTAATCGACGCAGATTTTTGTAGAGTTTTTGATATGCTGTTCAGGTTGGATTTTGCAAATTGGGGCTCTATAATCTTTTATATAAAATTTTCGTGTTACAATGTTAGTTACCAAACGGCTTAACCGATTTTTATGAAATTTTATGTGCGTATTCAGTAGGTCTGAAAATCGGTTACAATCTATTATTTATACCCCTAAGTTATAAGGTATAAGAGACAAGATAGGATGGTCCACCCCTAACATTTTTTATATTATTTCAATTTATTTTATTTTCTTATAACTACGTTTGCGCTGTCAGCTATTAGTACTCGTATTATTAATCTAACCTTATTTTTGGTAATACATACCTAGTATACCATTCCCTTTTAATATATTCCCGATGTGTATCTCCATTCCGCCGATGTGGTCGACCTCCACGTGGACGTCCACATTGCTAAAGTTGCGTTTGATGCGTGTGGTCTGAGAATAGTCCTTGAGAGTAAGGTTCCAGTGTCCTGAACGGAACATGCCTAATCCTAAAACATTACCCTGCAATTGATATAAATAAAAGTATTACTGTTAACCCGGTTAAAGAAGTCCGAGGCCTTTTTTTTGTTTTTGTTGTATATTGCCTCGTCGTGGGTGACACGGTATTAGAACTGTATTAGTACTTCGATTATTCTCAACTGTACGTACTGAAATTTTCAAGCATCTAAATACGTAAATATAGCTTTACTTTAACTGATTTATATCTGTTTTGTGCCTTCTGAGCAAACATTTTCGAGCTTATGTAGAACTGACTCTTCACAAAGGGGAGAGGGGAAGGGTATTGTTAGAAAGAAAGAAAGAAAGAAAAATATTTTATTCAGTGCAATCTAAAAAATACAATATAAACAACAAACGAAAAAAAAAAGAGTTAGTAATGTGGATTTATAATCCCATTGCTATTAATGTACCATGACAGGTTGTCCTCCACGTGGTTCATCCTAGAAACCATCATGTTAAATTTCTAATGAATATTCCACGATGAGCTAACTAATCTGACCTCATACTCATCTTATCATCCACAAGTTGTGCCCCGCCAACGTATACCGTTAGCACAGGCGAGCGCAACATTCCATTATCATCCCTTAAATAAAATACATTGTTAAAATGCGGTGCACGGGGAACTCCGAGCGCTATAATATATTTGATGACATCTGTGACAGGCTGTGGATTTGAACTTGTTTGCCATTTTAATCATGTAATCATGAAAAACAACCTTAAAACTACCTATCTATATGGTTTAATTCTAAATGCAATAAAGTTACACACCAGATTATCGAATATAGCCACTAATATAATGATCATCGAACTTCACTTGGAAGTTCGTTTGATCATATATTATTAGAAGGAAATTGAATTTTCTTTTATCACATAGAGTAAGCTCTACTTACCTCAAAATCATAGTCACCATATAGCCACTTTACAGGAAAATATTGAGAATATATAATACGTCCGTTATTCCAGTCGGTTCTGCAAAGTAACGAATAGCTTTTTGATTTTGCATCTATGGAAAAATTTATAAGCATCTACGGTCTTCTATAACCGGTCCTCGACCGCGTTACTTTGATAAATGTATGAATATTCAGGATTATTGAATTCCATGTGACTGTACCACATGGAATTCACTAATCAAAGGTTGTCTAATCATAAAAATAGACTAGAATTATTTTATATTAAGACTCTATTATCAAAGACTATATCGACTTCTATGTGTGTGTATCAAATACATAGATAGTGGTATTGTAATGTTTTTATTGATTTAATGGTTTTTATACCTATACATAATTTAAAAAAATATTAGTATTATGCATTTTATCTCTATATAAACAATAAGTTTTCGAAATTTCATACGCCGTCCGTGCGATTCTCGTAAAAAAGAGTACAAAATTTATGCTTCAAATATTAATATAATAATAATACAATTATTATAATTTTAGGACCAAAAGTAGACCGAGGTAAAGTCGTCTGCGCATGCTTAATTTTACTTATTGCAGCCGACAAGTAATTTGTTCTGTAACCTGTGTTTCGGTTGTGTGGTCAGGATAAGAGGTCATGACATAGTCCTGGATTGGAAATGCATGAGTAGCGTCACAGGGTCACATGGTAACGTTATCTCTTCATGTTCAATATAGGAAAATTATGGTTTATTCCAATTACTTTTAAAAATGCTATGTATTAAACACATAATAATCATTAGTTTATGAGAGACATCAGTGACAGTCAGGGAATTAAAACAGAATGAATACAGCTATAAAACAATCTTATTTTCGCATGCATAATATTTGGATCACCTGTGCTTTTACAATCCACTTACTTGTATTTTGTGACTAGAGATTGCGTCCAACCTCCTTCGTAAACGTCTCTGAGAGTGATCGTGAACCCAATACCCGCTATGTTCCGCGATCGCCTCACTTCCTTAGCGAAGTGTGGGTCGAATGGCGCAACGCCCAGCTCCGGTATGCCTGTAGGTAGACGTGAATGTATGCTGCAGTTCTTTTTTAAATGATGATAATGGAATGGTGCACCCCCCTGCGCTAACGGTTTACGCTGGCGGGGCACCAGTGGAGGATGATAGGATGAACATGAAGTCAGATCAGTTAGCCCAACGTGACAAATTCACCGGGAATGTATCACGATGGTTTCCAGGGGGAACCGCGTGGAGGTCGATCTGACATGGTACATTGCTAGCAATGGAATCATTAGTCCACATTACTGACAATACCCTTCCCCCCTGTATGCTGCAGTACAATAGGACACTTTACCCGACTGCAGGACAAAGGAGGGTAATGGTTTTTGGATGAGTGTGAGATATGTACGGATTTTGAGGGTAACATCATACTAATATTATAAACTGAAAGTTTGTGAGTATGGATGGATAGATGGATGGATGCTTTTCTTGCACACAATGGATTTTAATGAATCTTTACAGGTAGTATCCTAGTATAGCATAAAAAATATTTAACGGGTTTTGTTGAATGATGTTAATTCTGACAGCATTTTAATGTACAGGACGACATCACCAGGTACTACAATGTAGACCACAAAATATTGAAAACTATGAGTGATGATATTGTCACGTCCGAGCGTCTATATATTTATGCATATATCGTATATAACGCTCGGACTAGCTATGCCCGCGGTTTCACCTATGTAAAATTTGTAGCCTATGTGATATTCTGATGTATAAACTATAAAGCTTCATCAAATTCCGTTCAGTAGATTTTGTCTGAAAGAGTAACAAACATCCATCCATCCATACTCACTTATAATACCTTTCGCGTTTATAATATTAGGTTATACGGTTATTAAAAAAAGAAACGGGATAGTATCTATAATTATAGAGTTGTAACTTTAAATGTGTAATTAGATTCAAACGTCATAAATATATTCTCAATATAAGTTAGTTACTATAATAACTTTAACAATTATAATAGTAATACATATTGTACATGAACATGTATAAACAGTGATATAGGGATAACATGACTTACCTACTTTGAAATAAGGGCGTAATTTGTTGAAAGCTCGCTTTATGCAAATGTCAAAATCCGGTGACTTCTTTTTGCACGCTGAAAATATTCTTTCTGAAAAATATAATCAATTACTAACACTAAATAATGAAAACTATTTTAATCTATAGTATAAAGTTAAGAACAAGAATTTTTGTGTTAGCTTCACTATTTCAGTTTGAGCTTGAACTATTGAATTAACTTGATTTACTTTTATTTTTCAGTCCAAAGCATTATTTGTATGAATAACTAGCATGGCAAATAGTTTATAGAAATTACCTAAACTCTACTTTCGTGTATTGCGATTGCTGAGGGCTAATACACGAGTACCTACGTATACCTACTGTAATGTCATTGCCATATTTACCCGTTAAATCTAAATACTGTGTATACAAAGCCAACTGTGTGATGATAGGAATAACACACCTTACATGTTTCGTCCATTACCAGATAAAATGGTACTAAGTATCTATCATGGCTAATTACGCAAAACTCTACCGTCCATCAGTCAAGTTGTATTACAGATGTGTCAATACATTTCGTTTTCGACAGCTGAAACTTGCCGTGTAAACAAGAATGTACGTACTTTATAAGAAACATCTCGTATGACTTGCACAATGCACAAATGTTGCGAAAAGCACGAGAGGTTCTATTATTATAAAATTCTTTTGATAGTTGATATATACCTACTTTCTGAAGACATTTATAATAGTCACTGGTTGTATAGAGTAATTAGTAATTACGAAATTTAGAAAAGAATGATACTTTATTTAAATTAAGAATCTTTTGCAAACATATTGACTAGCTATGCACGCGGATTCACCCGCATGGAATTAGTAGCGCATGTGTTATTCTGACGTCAAAAATTCTGTATTTGGCAATATATGCTTGTTCTAAAAATAAAAACAATAAAATGATAAAAGAATTTTCGTTTAATGGGATGTCGGAGAATAGGGGTTCTATTTAATTATGGTATAATATCGTTTTATTTATCGTATAGTGTCGTTATTTTTTATATTATTATTATATGATATTTCTTGAGAAATATAAGCAACTATTAATTTTTACTAATCATAATTATTATTTTACTTTAAATTTTCAGGTGAATAGGTTTAAGTAATTGATCAAAATTAAAATATGATATTCTCTTTTTATTCATTACATCACAGTCACGTCGTCAACATCGTTATTAACAGATATTATATACCTACCTATGCACGAATCATTTCATAATGTCATATTAAATATAAACTTTATTATATAACAAATTATATCCAAGTAGTCGGTAATCGAACCAGGCCACCGGTGAGCGACGCTACATTGTCTGTATTTAGCCTACTGTTAATTATAATTATTATAGTATGGCATAATGTTAATATTTACGACCTCAATGGCACGTCGCTTTGCGTATTCGAGAAACAATTTTTAAATACAAGTCTGTGGTTGTGGATTGCGTCCCGATATCAATTACCAATTATTAAGGATTTCCATTAAATCAATTTTCCAATTAAGCCGGTTTAAAATTATAATTGTCCCATTTACAGAGACCCCGCTTATAGAGTACCGTTATTCCATTTTTAAATGTGGAAAATCCTGAAATAATACTGACAAATAAAGCATATGCGAAAGATATTCAAATGTTTGAAAACAAACGTGTGAAAAGCTCAGATTGGGACAATCTAATTAAATTGTTACAGAGTCCCAATTATAGAGGTTAAACATCCAAAAAATCTTAGAATTCAAATCTTATTTAACCAGGTTCGAAAAGTCCCATTAACAAAGGTAATTCAATGAAAAAGTACCGAAGACTTCATTGCTGCTCTTAATAATAGAGGTTTCTTGCTTATCCAGGTCCCACTTAACCAGGTTTTAGTGTATTATTGTTTTATATTTAATATTACTTATAAAATTGCACCGTCTTACTCTCTTTGATTAGCGCGACGGTCGACTGGTAGAGAATGCTATCAGGCATTAAGTCCGCCATGTGTGCAATATTGTGTGCAAAAGAATAAATAAATAACAACGTACACCTGACCTAAGGTAGACCTTAGTTCTAGAGACAGCGAGCACAGGAACAATTTAATATTTATGGGTGACTTATCATACATTGGGTTAAACACAAGCCGATTGATTTTCTATTCAATTAGAAAACATATCGTTATTACAAAAAGGCCTGATTCAAGGTTAGAACTCCTTATAGTGAAGTGTCTTCAGATATACGTGATGTTTGTCATGCTAGAGTTAGACATAGCATATGTGTAAATAAGTACTTCTGCAAGTTTGAAGTGTCTTCTGCAGTTGCATTAGTCTTTGCATTCTTTTGCACTTAACCTTTATTTTAATCGAGCAAATGTATTTGAGATTTTTTTTCTATGTTATGTTTTAGTAGTTATTAGCTACTCGCCCCGGCTTCGCACGGGTGTATATGTATTATATATAAAAACAATGCTCTAGAATCACTCTATCTACTAAAAAAACTGCTTCAAAATTCGTTGCGTAGTTTTAAACATTTACGCATACAAACGGACAGAGAGCGACAGCGACTTTATTTTTTTATACTATGTAATGATTAGTACTAAACAAACTGTTCGCCCCGGCTTCGCGTGTGTACATGTATTATACATATAAACTTCCTCTTGAATCAATTCACTCTATCTACTGCTGAAAACTGTAGAGATCTAAGCGACAGAACAGAGAAGGGACTTGATTTTGTACTATAGTATGTAAAGATTTATATGACAATGTAAAATATTTAAATAAGCAAGTTAAATTACTTACGTATTTCCGAAACCTCGTTCTCCGTTTCCGATAAATGTAAACAACAAAATACTATAGCACATATTTGTATAAATTTGACAAAAGCTTGCATTATTCGCTTTTTGCTTATAGCCACAAACAAACACAAAGTCACAACAAATACACAACCTTTAAACCAATTCTTTTGTTATTGATCATAAATTAACTAGAGGTTTTTGTTAATTATGGTGAAAAAATAATATTAAATTTGTATATTAATATTAAGTTTGAATGGCGACAAGTAGATTAAGGTCTGTGGCCGTTGAAGTCTCCGCGAACTGGCAATTCACAAAGGTCTGCGAAAGCGTATACCCCTACCAAGACACTTACGACATACCTTTGGCCATCTGACTAAATACACTTGATAGATGGCCATTATCAAATCTTCTGCCTTTTCTCATGAGTGTAATGAAAGTGTAGTTGCTAAACAAGTATATTTTAAAGTTTAAACATTGTTCACTTATAAAAATGAGTCTAGTTAATTTTTGAAGAACAAAGCCAGTAAAGTGAACTTGGAATGTTCCAGATAGATTTATTTTGTGTCAATATAATCCAAAAATAATTTAACAGAATAGTGGATATAGAAGTATGTATAAGTTTATGTCTTTACAGCTAATCCATATATCCATATATATATATTTACTCTTTAGGGGCAAGATCGTATATATTATTAATATAGTTAAACGGGTTTTGTCACGAATAATTTCAGTGTAAACTGTAAGTTTTAATTAACGTCGCTGTACTCCACTAGGCTTGTGAACACGTCTGGTGCAACTCAGTATAATAAAAACTAGTAGTCGTAGAAATGATAAAAATTTGAAAATTTTTAATAAATTTACATAGCTTTGTTTATATAAGACAAAAAGGTAGTGGGTATAATAGAGTACTCATAACATCCTTTTTGCCAAGAAACAAAGTGGAGACATTCGTCCCGGAAGCGATATTGTTTTTGACAAGTATTTTAGCAAGTTTTGATAAGTATTTTATTTCATCGAGGATACTCAAGAGGTGATAGCTACTTTGCCCTGAGGTTAGGTTTGGTCATTCAGAGAAGTAATCCTGCCAGTATCTTGGTTACGCTGCCTGGATGTGCGGCGTTGGATTACAATAATTGTTTTTTTTTTCGTGAATGTATATTTATCATATTTATTTACTTATGGAGGATGTATTAAAAAAAGTATTTAATAGTAATAAAAAAAATATTGTATGTGGAGATATTAACGTTGATATTCTTTGTAGCACACCCACGTGTACAAAAATTATTAGTTTATTTCAGTCATTTGATTTAAGTCATGTCTTTCATGAACCCACTCGTGTAACTGCCACGTCTGCTACTTGTCTTGACAATGTTTTTTGTCAATGTAACTGCGAGTATACAGAAAAATTCCTAATAAATAAACTTCCTTCAGATCACTTTGGTCAAGTTGTTAAGTTTAGCAGTCAAATCAATAAAGTCAACAATAATAAAAATACAAAAAGACAAATAAATGTTTACAATATTAATAAATACAAAAGCGCGATTAAAAATAAATTGGATTTGCTGTTACAATCTAGTAATAATCCTGATTATCTTTACACCAAGCTAATCAATATTTTATCAGAAGAATATGAACAATTTATCTCCTGATTTAAATAGTGGGATTAATTTGCTAAATTTCATTAATCGTGGAAAAACGCCATTACCAATACATTTATTAAAAATAGTGGCTAGATATGGAGCAACAATACCTATGAATGAACTAACTACTTTTACAGACATGACCCAAAGGTCTTCCGTATTTTTTAATTTAGTTGTTTGAATATTTTTATGAAAATATCATGTATATACGGAAGAACTTAGAGAGTTTTAAAAAACTTAAAGACTGTACAAGTAGAAATTTACGCAATAAAAATAAGCTAATTTTACCTAAGTAAATGCCGTCTGCATCAAAAGTATTCATTCTACGGTAATTGCGTAAGATTTTATAATAAACTGCCAGAATCTGCACTAAATCTGACAGAGAGGCAATTCAAATCTTATATTAAACAATTTTTTTCTATTTGAGTACTTAATTGACTTAGTGCTAATTGGTGGTTTGTATTCACACACTTAAACTTAAAAATGTAAAGTAATAATAAAATTATTTAAAAGAGCAACACGCAAGTTTCTTGCTCGTTCTTCTTGTGATGAGACAGGTTTCCGAATGAGCGGTTGATTAAAAAAATGTAATGACTATTCAAAAGTGCTTCAATGTAAGTTTATTTGAATAAACGATTTTCTATTCTTTCTATATTATACTATTCTTATTATGACAATATTGATCAGAAACAAAGTACCTGTACTGAAAATATATTTTTAACATCATACTAAATTGATCTCAGCTTATATAAATAAAGTATGTATAGGTATAGGTATTAAAAAGTATATATTCTAAAATTTTTCCTGTCTCCAGTTTTGTTCATTTTTATGTGTATCTTTAGCTTTCACCTTTATAGGTACTTTACCTTTATTCATGCTGTGTACATGTATGGAAGATATGTTGAAATACAATCATAAGGAGCGACACCATCATTTAAAAACATGTTACATAACATAATGACATCGTAGATCCATCAGCATGCCATGTTGAGCAACTGAGTAATGTCTCTATGTGCGAATAGGTCACTAATACAGTGCAAAGGTTGAGTTTTAAAATTTCAAGAAATGAAGATTACTTTGATATTTATCATTTTCGAAGTAAGAATTAACTGGTATATAAGTGCATACTGAAGTAAATACATATCCGTAGCTGCTATTAGTTAATATATATTAAATAAGCCTGGACAAATTAAAAAGTATAGTATATGCTAAAAGTATAGTTTACAATGTTTAGATCAATTAATAATATATTATTTATGTTTCACCTTTTCAAATGCCACGTAGTGATAAAAAATCACGATTAGTTAAGTGTCAGACGTTCTTAAATGTATATGAAACTAAATTTCATCAAATTAGGTTTTATTTTGCGGAAATTCATTTAATTACTTAATAAGATTACAGAGCGAAATTGGGTAAACTTAATTTAGGTATATATTGAAAGAGCAGTTGGATTCAGGCTTCGCAATACCGTAAAATAAATATGTGGATGTAAACTGAGACTGAGAATACTATTCTATCAGTCGCTTTTCCAAGTCGACTTTGTGACAATCATCAATTTTGGTGGGTTCGATTCCTCGTTCGGTTCAAATATTTGTATTCATGAGTACGAGTTGTTGTCTTGGTCTGGGTGTGTATAATATGTATATATTTCAATAAAAATATCTACCGTTGTCTAGTACCCGTAACACAAGCTCTGCTTAGCTTGGTGCTAGATAGCTGTGTGAATTGTCCAGGGTTATTATTATTACTATTAGCTATTCGTCCACAAACAATAATCAGCTAATATCGAAGCAGTTATTTTTTTCAAATAAATACAATCTATATTTTTCTATTGTCTATTTTTATTTTACAATTTGTTTTTAAACTAAAACTTAAATCTAAATGCCATTAGCCACATAATACATTTCATACTAAAATATAATGTCAAAATAAATAGTTTAAATTAAAGAAAAGAAAATGTTAGATTGAGAACACGATTAATCCATTACATTTATTATCACTGGAATGTTAAATATTGAATAAGTATTGTTAGATTATAGTATATAACGATATGAGTGCGTTATGAGTGTTATAACATACGGCGTAATAGAGCCGAGCGTGTTAAATACGCACTTAGGCATATCGTACGACGTTTTTAGCACACTTGATTTTAAATAAACACAAGCATAAAACCGTTTTTCCGCCGTTTTACTTTTTAAATCAGCACGCTGCCTACTGGCCAACTCTCTCCGGCGGTCGGTCGAAATTTGATAAAGAAACAGAAAATGGTGAAGTTATGGAATAAAACTTCATTATTTGCATTCATAAAGCATGTGTGCTTTATGAACTTCTTTATATAACGAAAATCTGTGAAATTAGATACACTTTACGAGAAAGTGTATTGAAAAATATGTTATTTATAAGTTATTAAAAATTAGGACTGTTTCATTAAAATACCCATTAACTAAGGTTTCTTCCATTAATGGTTGCTTGTACTCAAATACTTAAATGCTACTTAAAAATATAATTTCCTTTATGTAAATAAAATGCGAACGTTAATAACCGATTAGAATATATTATATGAAATCAAACAAGTAAAATGGACTATTTAAATAGTAAAAGAGTTTTAGGCCTTTTAAAAATTAAGATTCTAATAAAAACTTTGTTATGTAACTTAGAATGAAATTTCTAATCGTATTTATTAAATATTTAATATAGCGGTGTGTGTTAAATAAATATACAAATTCAAAAAAATTGTATTATTGTATTGAATTGAAATTGATATTTATGGAGTTAAAAACAGATACAACGAACGTTAGTAAATACGAGTAGACTATTTTATTTGTATTGTGAAAAGATTTAATATACGAGTCAATGAACTTATAATGGGTTAAACTCCTGACAACTAAGAATTAAAGGAAATAATAGTAACTACTTTCCGTGGTAATTTACGGAATATAATTCAGTGATTAGCCTGTCATCTCTCACTATAAATATAACGTCCCAGCTCCCAACTAATGAAAGTTAAACACCTCGAAAAGTTAATCATTTGCTCTTAATCTATTGAAAAGTATTTAGTGTTATGAACAATAGATTTAACTCTAATCTACCCATTGAATTTATATTTTAATACATTTGATACAAGTGTATTTAAATATCACTAGCACCAATACATTTAGAGCTCGTTGCCTGAACTCCTCAAGCTAATCTACGATCCAGTCGTCGTACGGTACTTTCTCTAGAATCCTTTCTAAGAATCGCAACATCTTGTCGGCTAGATCTTTCTTCAGTTCCGGCTTCATTTCCTTTAGAAGTTCTTGTGCGTTGGTGTTGATGAACAGGTTCAAAGCTGCCTCTGTGATATAGGAATAATGCATTACCAGAATATTCAATGCAATTTTAAATGATGTTACTTATATTCGAAATTACTTAGAACAATTTAAAAATTGATATCTATATTATTATATTAATAAAAACACTTTTTAACATAATAAAGGTTTTTTTATTTGTATAAATACAAAATAAATAAACAACAACAGAGACAATCATACTCATGAATACAAATGTTTTGTATAATGCGTGAATAGAACCCGCCACCAAATGAAACAAGGCTAAGATAAAATTACTGAACAGATTTTGATGAAACTTTAAAGTAATATAGCTTATACATAACAATAACACATAGATTATAATTTAACAGGGTATTCTTTAAAATGGGTGAAATGTAATCATAAATATCAAGTAAGTGTGATGCACACGAAGTTACGCGGGTTAGCTATAACAATATTAATATGAAAGTAAAAGTTTATTTGCTAAGTCTTGACAACTTTATTGACTCAATCAATATGAATGAAATTTGACGTAGTTAATTATACCTACAGGATGGAGAAAAACATAGCGACTATTTATTATATTTGTAATTCATGACATGTGAGTTACCGGACGAATATGCTCTTTTTTGAGGTTTTTAATATCGTTTTGAAATACCATTGCTGTAGTTGATTTCACAATATATCCCTTCAGTAAATACAATTTATTGAGAGGCCTATTCTGAAATAGATTAAAAATATACTCACGTAGCACAGAGTTACTATTCTGTAGGTTCTCCACGCCCATCTGGATGTCTCTCACGGCGAAGTCCAGTTTCAGCTGCCGCAATTTCAGGTAAGTGCGGCCTTCGCGCGTGTACGGAGTACCGCGGAAGTAAACCTTTGCTTTCACGCCATCTGAGCATAGTAATGATATTTTTAAAATTTTTATTTCCAAATTTGAGCGCGTTTGACCGCTGTGTCATCTGATGTTAAGTGCCTATTCACTCTTGACTTGAAAGACCCAATTTTAGTGACTGGAGCCGCTTCTCTAAAAAAAGGTTGTGAATATTCCCAACCTTTTTTTGTAGGAGCAAACTTTTAACGATATCAAAATTTGGCGGACAACGAAGAAAAAATTTTTTTTTAATGTTATCTTTAAGTTTAAAAATTATTATTTACTTATCTGTTGTACACGGGGTAAATAAAATTTTAAATGTGAACAATAAAATAATATGTACTATAAAAATAATAATATGTTTATTAAGGGATAAATTGTAAGTTATTAAGTAGCACAGTGATTGGACTAGAGACGAAAAATTCTGCCTTTCCACGGTAGTAATGATTGAATCACTACTTTTTTAAATAAACAATTATTGTGCTCATAGCTGACAATACACTACATTAATGCAAGAATAATACTGTATTTTATAAAATTTGATTGCAAGTCGGACTTATATATATAATAGACAACCTGGTAGAGAGTATTTACGTAGAGAGAAGGTAGGAGGCACACATTAGACAGTGTAAGTATGCCTAAATATATAAACTTAGACATTAATATATATTATACACATACATACATATATTATACATTGAAACAGAACTAAAGGAAATGTATGTTATATGGCTATAGATATGGTTTAATTACAGTCAGAGGTAATATTAAAATTTGTAATTAAGTGTAACTATGGGTAACTATGGGTAACTATGGGTAACTATGGGTACTGATAGAAATATTGAAACACATTATTTTGTACCAGGTACATAATATAAATAAAAAAACTGACCAACAAAAACTATCATAATCATTAATACATATGTATTTATCATGCATGAATCGAACCTAAAGTGGTATAAAAATCTAATAATATATAATATAGAAATATAATAAAATATAGAAATAATCGAGGCCATCATCAAAGACTTACCGTATTCACCCCAGTAGTCGCCTCCACCAGACGCTCTAACTAACAGCAGCACACCAGAAGAACGGTAACGGGCGCGAGCGCTGATATGGGGCCCGAAGAGAGTCATTTGGAACTGATGCGTCTCCAAATCAGATCTGATATGCAAGGGGAAGTAATATTTATTATCTTAATACATTTTATATTATTTATTCCTTAATACATTTGTAATATTTTGTGTAATTTCGTTACTATTGGCATGTGTGAGACCACAAATATTCAGTGTGAAAATCTCTGTGACCACGGTACTCGAAGTATTATAACTTTCTCTATTGGTGATCAAATTCTGACTGATAATGTGTGTAAATTGCGCCATGTTTTACCTCTGAACGAGACATCGTTAAGATAAATCTGCAACTCGTAATTCATAAAATATATTTTTTGTGTACGTGTGTTTGTCAACTTTTCTGCCTAAATGGCTGGACCGATTTGGATAAAATTTTGCATGTATATTTCAATGGGTTGATTGTTTGAAATAAATTGTGTAAGAATAATTCTGTGATTCTTACAATATCGTTATCTTATCTAGTCTTATATATCGTTTAGTAAGTAAAATAGATCCACCGGTTTATTTGAAAACACGATTGGTCCCAGTAGTATTCTATTCCTACACTACACCATTATGTAAATATATAGAGCAACCTTTATGTAACTTATGTGATAAACTCATGCATATATGTAGCTAGATATATTGCGAACATTCAACTATATAGATATATAAATATTATAAAGAGAGAGAGATATTTATAAGGAAAGCAAACTCTGAACTCTGAACTTCAGAAATCCTTTCATAGTTTAAAAGCTACTTTACCTGATTCATATAGATTACATATTATGATAATACATAGCATATTACCAAAGCTAACAAAGTTATGTGCACCAAGGCAGAGCCAGGATGGGTCACAGTCATAAAGTGCTTTTCCTTATGTTTTATTATCCTTACAAAAATGCTTATTGTTAATAGAAGGCTGCATGAGACAATATATTCATAAGAAATTATGAGTTGTAGCGACTTTTGTACTTTTGACCCTGGTAGTAAAATTACAAAGCAGTTAGTCGGTGTACACAAAAGAGTGTGTCATCTTCACATCGACGTGCATTGAATATATTACGAGTATAACCACGAGGAATTGCTTATCTTATCACGTTTGGTAGGAAAATCTAACGGCACAATAAAAAAAATAAAAACGTCCAATTTGCAACAGGTGTGGGCATGTTGTTTTGATGACTCCAAGAGGACAATGACATTAGAAGTTCACTGAATAACAATAAGGTTTGTGTAAATATTAAGAATATCTTTGTCATCAGGTATTCACGTGGACATAGCTGAAAACTAGTGTTATACTCTTTGAGTAATTCTCCACACTGAGCTACGTGCCATTTTGTATTGCTGTACATACATATGCAGGTTTAAATAACCTGCATTGTATACTATTTATAATAATGCCTATATGTGTGTACTAAGATATAAATAAATATTCTGATCTAGTTATCTATGTAAGTTGGTGGTGTTAAAGACTGATATTAATCAGGGATGCCAACTGAGCGCGGATCAAACAAACAGAGTTTCGGACTTTGCTACGAGGACATTTTGACACTCGTACAAGTTTCAAAATCGGCCAAAATTTTATTCTTGATACGAGACTAAGTGTTATAAGGTTGGCAACCTTGATGTTAAACCTATATAGCCACTTGTATTATTAGTTTTTCCAGCATTGTGTCAATTCCTCAGTCCTTATTATTCGAAATTTAAAATATATTGACAAGCGACAATAATTATGGAGATAAAAAGTTACTATTTAAGTCTGACAAAATGATACAGGTACAGTGAGCAAAATTTTTGAACATTATTTCATTGAGTACTTTTGAAGTTTACTCTGGATCACAGATAAGATAATATTACATACTTTGGATATAGATTATAAGGCGAGATAGATATATACCGACAACCTTATATCTACTTATTTTTACTTTACTACTAAACGAAACAACTAAATATTTATAGGACAACGCTCGTAATGCAAGGTAAAGTACGGAAAATGAAGATCACTCTATATTTATATTTACCTGTAAACTGAGGTAAGGGCAATAGGTATTAAGTATTATACTTAAGTCAAGGCAAATACAATTAGCGATACAGGTTCAGTAAATCATAGTCTGTTCTCAGAAGTTACATATTTACCTTCATGACATGTTAAAAGGGATGGTGTTTTTTAGTTTATGCTTTTGTATTATAGTATGTAGTAGTGTATTTTTTATATAAGTTACGGTAGTAGGAACTCTATCGTAATTTAGACATAACGGCATATAATAAAAATAAGGACATTTGCAGATAGACAAATAATAATTTATTTCGTCAGTGTTATCAGGTAATTCTGATACATTCACTGTATATTAGAAAGTAATGTTAACTATGCCAATTTACATAATTTTTTTAGGCAAACGAGCCAATGGCGGACTTCACAATAAGTGGTAATCATATAAATATAAAACCTATATAAATGAATAGCACCATAGACATCACTTGATTATGTGACGTTTGTAATATAACTGTTAGTTACGGAGGACTACGATGTCATACTATACGATTTTCACTGCCTTATCATGACCCTTTGATAAATCACTGCTAACAATTAGCATATACCATACGCCCAAAAATACAGTCACATTGCTAACTTCTTTTTAAACAGATTGAAAATATAGGGTGTTTTATGAATGGTAGAAAAGAACTGGTCATCTAAAGAATCTTACCTAACGTTGGTGATGGTCATATTGGAGGCACCAGTTGCATGGATATCTTTGAAAGTGGCTCGGTAACCATCTGGACCGCTGCCCAGCGCAATCGACAGCTCATCTATTACAATGGGTTCTGACTGTAAAAACAAAACAAAAAAGTCTTAAATTATCAATGACAAAAAACAAACTTTATATGTAAAAGTCTATATTCGTGTGTTGTTTGCATTTGACACATGTCCAAAATACACAAGCCTTTACACAAAGTTGTCTGCGTCTCTCTGTCTTACCTATGTCTACCATCAAATTTCCAAAAGTTAAAAAATAAATACCTACCAATTTTCTACTTTCTATTTCGATAAGTGATGTGAATTTTTGAAATAAAAGAATGTATAAGATTATTAGTTATTATTGGAGATTTAATATGAATAGAGATTAAATATTACCTCTTCAATACCGAGCTCCGGGGCTCCTCCTTTCAAATACTCCATGAGATTATTGAAGCTGCGTAGAAGGCAGGCATCCACATTAGGGTCTCTACGAGAACACCGCCCGCCGAACATATCTGCGTAACATAAACGGGAGACTGAAATTAATTTGGAGTCATCAAACGATTTACTGAAATACATACAGTAAACATTATGTATCGCAAAAATAATTATAGAAATCAGCGTAGAATATATAGACAAATTTGAGAAATTATAAATTTCACAATTTTTTTGTAACAAAGGTTTTATTATACAAAGTTAAAAAATAATTATTTAATAAATGTTTTTTACATGATTCGGGTTTTACATGGTACGTGTATTTATAAAATCTTTGTTTATGTTTCATATATCAAATGCTAAAGGTAAGTAGTTTATTAGTATGGTAGTTATACTGTTACAGGGAAGGAAAGACTAAGTAATCTAATACTAAAAAATGAAAATTCTAGCATACTATATTCACTCTACATATATGTAAATCTTACTGTAACCTATTTATGTGTTACCTTATTTATTTAAGTTTTGATTAACATTAAAAAATAAGTTTAAAATTAAATTATATATAAATAAAATCACCGATAACAAATTAATCGGGAAGATGATCGCCATCGTCCCGGACGGTCTAATCCATCTACTACTTGTGAGTGGATTCAAATACGAGTATGAACATCAAAATATGAGCATACCATATACCTATAATGTTTACTGGTTTATAGCAGGTGGTTGCGCATTTATTTATTTTTACTACTACTTTTAAATATAAACATATTTTAAGTGCGGCAAAATTTTCACAATTTGTTCTAAATTATTAGTTGACTGTATTTGGTATATACGGTCACAACATTAGATTTTAGTATCAGTATAACAGCTTTCATCGGCACGCCTACGGAACTAACATTAGAATGCAAGTTATGTACACATAACGGTAGACATCACTGTCACAGCGACATTGACACCTCGGATAGTGAAGACAATAGGCACTTATATTATAGAAACAATGGTGTCTAAGATCCTTGTGTTTTTATTAGATCGTGAGATACAACTTTTCTTTACTCCTGAGAACCAAGTTGAAAGTGTTTTACAACGATTGATGCTCACCTTTATTTCCGGAGTAGTATTCTATAATATTTACTGATTCAAATATTTACCAACACTTATTAGCTCAAAAGCTCTTTATATTTTTGAAATTTATTCGTGCTGTTACTTTTATGGGAACTTTCCACAGCGAACCAAATTCAAAGTATTCATCGAACTATTCTAATGTTGGTCATAGTTGAACTTTACGGTTTCACCGAAATGGGAGCGAACGTAGAGTGCACTCCAAACCCGCGGAAGATCTTATTGAGTGGCTGAATATTTACTCTTGCTTGAGCATTAGTCTGAAGGCATTGTTAGAAGAGATATTCGTCAGTATGGTTGGGGTCGTCTTTGCTGCTGAGGACGGTGTCCTGTTTTTGTTGCAGCGGAGTGGTGAGTGAGGATAGTGTCGTAGGCGACTCTTTGCACCGTAGGGATTATATATGACTTATATATTATTTATCCTTAGCTTATCTAGCCCCAATTGGGTTGTCATAAATAAATAAACGGCTGACGTACATATTAATGCAACATAAGGAACGGTTGACAACAATATTCAAAACCAATAGAAACTGCACTATTAAGTGTAAGTTAGGGCAGGTCATAAAATTGATCCTGATCTATATACGTATGAGATGCGACAAGTAAGCACGGGTAAAACCGGTTTAAAACACCAATATGTGCAGCAGGTGGAGGGGCCGATGACCCGCCGGTGGGACCTTGTCTGCGAAACACGATCTATCTCGCGAAACCGTTTGCTGTTCGTCTTTTTTACTACAGTTAATTTGTTACCATTTGATTGATTGGTCTACTATCTGTTCGGTCATACACGGCATGTGTTTATATGAGGTTGTATATTGGTAATTGTCGACATAAATAAGAGTTTATTTAAGAAGAGTTAGCATTAATAGCCATATTTTGATTACGTTTTTATGATATATAAAATTATAACCCGAACAAAAAAGGCCGGTTTTCCTAATCGCATAAACAAAAACGTTTTAACCTTAAATAGAAGTGTTTCTACTTTTATATCATTTATTAATATATAATATATTATGTTTATTATTATATATATATATATATATATATATATATATATATATATATATATATACAAAAATATTTACAATAACAATATTTGTAAATGGTAAATAAGGACAATTACTTAATGGATTGAGTTTGTTGTGCTTATTCCCAAAAATAAAAAATATATAATCCTACAATAATTGCAATATTCAAGGCAACATACATTTATGAATATTACTGATCTACCTATGTACGTTTTGCCGGGGCAGTAATTAAAAAAGCAGTAATAATTAAAAATATGTATATTCTTTAGAACTCAATATGTATATTCTTTAGATCTCTTCAAATGGTCAGACAATTTGAGCAAGGATTAAAGTTCATGGTATTTTCTCAGTTTGGAGTCGATCTAGTCTAATGGTTTGTCAATGGTCGATATAATTAGAGGAACTACTGACCATGCCCTCAATTCTAATGACACAGTCGCGTGTTTGGAATGCATTTGGTTTAGGGCTAATAAGTACTTAGATGTCAATATTGCAGATATAATGTCGAATATCATTATATTAAAACGTGATGCAAAAACTTTTTACCCCTTTTTACGAAAATGGCGCGACTATAAAATATTTTTCATACAGGAGAAGTATGAAATTTCGAACGCTGATATTTTATATATAACATAATGCTAACATTTTTTTTTAAACACAATGCAGTAATATTAATTATTATTAAAATTTTGTGTATAACAATATATTTCATATCTAAATCTTATCAGATATATACATCTCGATAGGAAATAGGAAATAATGCATTTAAAAACATAATTATAAAATTTTAAAATGGAACGTCGCGCATGAAATGTTGGTACTATTTTGTTTTTCTTTTTACTTCTCGCACATTTTGCGGCATCACTATACACTTCTCTGTAAAATAAATACTATTCATTATTTATTTCATTATTATAATAATATAAACATAGCAATATTCCTCCATCAAACACCTCTGAAGTCTACCCCTCATGAGACATAAGTACCACATAATTATGTAATGTCATGGTGCTGTTAAAGTAAATAGGGGATGATAGCCACTTTCCATCAGGTGGGTCATCGACTTGTTTGCTAATCCAGTTACATAAAAACGGTGGTACTATTGTCGTAGAGTGATCAATGACACAATCAGTTATGTTATTGTTTGTCATAACTGGTCGCGGCAAGCACTCATTACTGCATATAAACTTTCACAAGGTGATTAAAAGTACATTCTATGATTGGTGGATGGTATCTGGCAGTTGCGATTAGACATTTTTAAAAACATTTTAATAAAATTAATAAAATACTAACAGAATAGATGTCGAAATACTAGCAATAATAATTAAATAAAAGAGTAAGTATATGGGTGTGTGTGTGTGTTAAATATGTACTTGGTAGAGTGTGTAATGTTTTTTATTAAATGTACTTTTATGCCTAATTTTATAACAATATTAGCATTCTGCACTCATTCTCTATGGAAAATATATATGTGCGAAATTTCTTACTTCTTCGTCCGCTCAATTTTCGTAAAAAGGGGCTACAAAGTGTTTGCTTTAGGTATTTATTAGTATACCGTAATATTCTAGTATTAATGTACTTGTAAAACGATAATTTTCTACAAGTATTTAATAAGTTATTCGTTATTAAATTTTGCCTACATATATTATTCGCATATAATTGTATTTATTACCATAATTAAGTATGAGTGTTCCCACGGTAGAAAGGAAGTTAATTTGTAGATAATTAATCAATGAATGCGGTAATACTTAGTTCTGTCGCAGACAGTTGTACTGTTACTGGCTGTTATCCCAAGTTACCCAACGTGTACATACAACTACGTTTCTACTTTCCTCTTTCCGTGGCTGTTTATGTAATTTTTGTTGTGTTAAACACCGTCTAGATTTTCTATTCTATTACTTTATGCTTTCGCTCTTATAGTCTTAGGTCTAATGTATGATAAGAGATGCTTTATCTAAAGGCTTGCAATGTAAGTATGGGGTAAGGGATTATTAGTAGACATGGCTAACAATATTAGCTGTTCTTCATATGATTGTCTCGGAAAATTCCTGATAAATTCGCTACTATGGGTTAACTGAATTCACTTCAAACATATCATATTGTCCTCCACTTCTGTCCCGCTAGAGCATTTATTATTCATTAAAAAAAAAGTGCAGGTAAAAACTGGAAGAGAAGGACTGAAGATCGTGAACAAAAAAGCATACACGTACCGTCACGACTGTTCTCTCAGATGTCATTATATTAGTAAGAGTCATTGTCAATAGCTGATGTCATGGTGAACATAACACTTGATATGCCTACATTTTGATGCGATTCTTTTTCAGAGTACCTTAATGCTGTTAGCCGCAGCTGGCCTTTACCTTTATCGGCCGATATAGCGAGTGTAGATGGCTATCCAAACCCGCGGAAGAACTTATGGAGCGGCTGAAGGCCAACTCCCGCTTGACGGATACAACTTTAGACCTAGGTCACCATTAGGGTTCGAACCTCAGTTCAGGCCATCATAGTTTCGATCCCTATTTGAATAGGATAGGGTTCGATCGGAGGAGTTTTGTCTACCGAGGTTTACAAAAATAAATCATTGATAAATTGGTATCATGCGGAGAGCTTAAATATGTAAATGAAATAAATATAAACTGCGATTAACCATTTAATAGATAGATAGCATAGAGTAGTTTCATAGAGTTGCTACAGCTTCAGTGTTGGACGGGTGATTGATCGTAGGGGCTGGGTATATTTAAATATGATGCAGCAGGGGCTGAACCTCATCAGTTCAAGATTTGTGTGCTTCGGATTGGCAATATCGCGAAAATCTCGGATTTATTGGTTGTCTGAGTTTCTTTCACTGGATTCTATGCATCAGTGAAATGAATATAAATCAGTTCGTTGCAGTCAACAGTATTAGCAAGACGCATAAATTGTTTAATAATTTC